TCAAATGAAATAAACAGCAAAGCATTTTCAAAATACACAAAATGCATTCAAATTTCCATTCCATGCCAATCATCGAACAGCGTGAAAATCGCAAAAATGCCGCCAAATTGCAGCACATCTACGGGCTTTGGTGAAATAAATATACGTATGTATACATATGTATACATCTGTATGTGTATATGTAGGAAAAGTGCACAATTTTGCTGTACATTGACCCGCAGAAGGTGTTTGCGTGCCAGCAAAAGAATCCCTGGAAAAATCGTGTAAATTGACCAAGCCCTAAGGAATAGCTGGACTCTTAGATTTTGTATGGTGTCAAAAATGCTGCACATAAAATAGCTGTAATAAGTTAATGACTCATTAAAATTCTCTAACAATTATTAATTATTATTTTAGAAAAGTGTTCTTGAAGATTTCATTACACTAAAGCAAAAATTCATTGCATCAATCAAAATCTTAAAATATTTAAAATTCCAAAAATCAAGCAACAAACGTCGCTCATTCTCTCTCTCTCTCTTCTCATCTTGCTCTCTCTCTTTCAATATTTACTTGCTTTGTCATAGACACAAGTTTGTAGAAATAAATTTCCGAATTTTTCAATTTCCTAAAATTAATAAATCTTAAGTCTTGGCAGATGTTGAAAATAATGTGCCATAAACAGCTCTTCAATTTACCAATATATGTATATGCACATATAAATATTCCAAAAAGCAATTTGTTTATGACAAAAATACATTGTGGGCTAATCAACCAGATAAAGGCATAAAGGCTGTACGCCCAGGTGTGAAAACATTTCTAATAAATTTTATTTTTCCGTGAACCGTTTCTACACTAAAACGTTCTCTTAAAAAATTTTTATATTTATTGTAAAATCTGCGGTTGTTAATTTATATGTGTATTTTGTTAAAATATAAATTACAAAAAAAAGAATTGAATGTATAATAAGTCTGCAAAGTGTTTTTAGTTGAGCTATGAAAATCAATTGTTCATTCTCTTAACATTGAATTGAATTTTTTTCCTTTTTTTTTATGGCTATTTTTAAGCATGGTACCATTTTTATAAACACCGCAAAAAACTCATAAAAGTTGGCCACAGAATCAGCAAAACAACAAAAAGCAAAATGTGCATAAACAAACTCAGGAATGAAACAAGTGAAACTTTTCATTCATTTCATAGATGTAATCAAGCAGAAAGCACACCTGAGATGCGAGGCTGATGATTTAGGAACAGCGCGACGACCTTGCTGCCCCAGATGTAATTACACGTGGGCAGGCCCAATTGGCACTCGCACACGAAACTGAACAGCAAATGTTTGTATTCGAATGTGTTTATGAATGCACTCAAAGAGAAGCCACGTGCAGCTCGTGCCGATCAGACAGCGACGCATGGAGAATGGAGAACGCAGATCGGCGAGATGGGGAATCGGAACTCACCTCGGATATTGTAGGCGGTGGCCAGCAGGCAGAAGCCAGCAATTATTAACTTAATGGGCGCTGACATAGTTGCGGTTTGGTATTAGATTTCTGGGCGCTGGAATGCTAGCTACAAATCTCTCTACAAGGCACGTAGACGGTTTGGCGACACAATGGCGCCGGCTTTCCGGTGAACAAGACGTAGCGAAGACTATCGAATTCCTTGTGTGTTTATCCTTTGTGTGGCTTCTCAATGCCAGACAGGAGCTCTTTTATCTGACTCTCTGGCTGTAGTTCAAACTGTGCGCGATGCAAACGCTTGCTCGTCCGAATAACAACTGTGTGCGGCCCAGCGAGCCGCAGGCTATGCTACCACACACTGCCCCAGTGTACGTATGCGTCAGCGCCGGCAGAGGCAGCAGCAGCGGCAACGACGCCTGTGTCGGCCTGTGTCTTAGCAATGATGACGTTCTCGGGGGATGCCCCATGCTGCTGCTGATGGGAAAGCTACCGAGCCAGGCAACTGAAATAAACCTTGAAATGGACAAACGTCAAGACAAGACTGTTTTAGTCCTTTGAGTCAATTTGTTTCACATGATTGTATATGAGTATAAATGCATTATAAATATTTTCTTAAAGAACAAAGGCCATATTTTATATAAATCCTTTACACTTTTTTTTTTTAGTAATGCAACTTAAATGTCATATATATGACTCAACATTATAATTGAAAGCAAACTTTTGAACTTGCTTGCCCAACAAACAGCAGCATCAACTACATTTTTTTCATATTTGGTCACCCTAATTATGGTGTGAAGCTTGACTAAATCGAAAGCAGCTGAAGCTTTTATAAGGTTTGAGGCTTAAATAATTCACAAACCGTATTATAAACAAAAAATCAAAATGTAAAAAATTTCAAAAAATTATTATTATTTTTTTTTTTTTTAATTAAAAAAAAAGTAATGTATACAATTTAAAAAAAAAAAAGGTAAAAAAAAATTTTTTTTAATGTAATTAAAATTTTAAAATTTCCAGTGCCAAACGAAAGTTTCTATATAATATATAATGCTCACAATAAGTTAAAATATATAAAAATTTAAATTCATGCATTGAAAATTGCAATCAATGAATTAATAAATATTTAATTAAGTATTTATTTTCCTATCCTTGCTGCCATACTTTACTTTTCCGCATACCTCTATAAATACACGCATCCATATCTTAGACCGAAGAACTAGGGAATTTCATTTCGACACGCTCATCCCAATGCAAAATCGATCTATTAACGTAGTTTTTTTTAATACATGTATATCTGATACTACATGCAGCTAAGCAAATGCAATGATTCACTTGTGATTCATTTGCTGGCACGCACATAATTTGGCCAAATTTTGCCGCAACTGTTGAGCAGTAGATGGCCAAATTTGGCGTATGCTTACGCCACAAGTGGTAGCCGAGGCGCTGACATGGCCAGCCGATATACGATTCCATATGCAAATCTTGACATTAATCTGCGACATTAGACGACAGTTGGCGACTCCTCCTGCACCCAAAAAGCGCTTGACAAAGCGTGAAAAATGCGACCCGCGCTGCGTTGCACGCACACGCCAAATGAATAGTCGATTGCGAGCGACGCCATCGCCGCACTTGGAGTTGATTGGCGGACCAAGCCATGCCGGGCCGCACCAAGCCGGGCCGGGCCAAGCCAACAACAGCGTTAAATTCAAAACACAATGTTTGCAACAGATTAGGAGGTTAAGTTGAAGCTTAAGCCGAGGCAATAAAAAGTCAAATCACATCATAAACTTAAGCACGGCTTCAGGTTTGGACTTCTAGGCTTGGGGCTTATAGAGAACCAGCCAACCGGCCAGCTAGGCAGCCGGCCGATCGTGGATACCAGTGACAGCCAGCCTGGGGCCATTGGGGCGTATGCGTAACATTTGCAACCAGCTGAAACGTTGAACAATGTCGATTTACAATATTTACCCATGCCCCCTCAATGATAAATGGCCAGTTTTATTGCATAAACTGTACGACATTTTCGCTAGACACGTCATAAAAAACTAAAACTAAAAAAAAAAAAAAAGCAAAAAAAAAACAACAAGCAAAATACGCACAAACATTGCATTTAAAAAAAATAATAATAATAACAAATCTGAGCCGTGCAACAAGCTTAAATGGCCAAAACGTTTTTAGTTGCCACCCATTAATTTTGATTTTTCGTTCATTTATACCCTGTAACTGTCATCTGTCTGTAAATGGCATATCTTTGCGCTATGCAAATGTGAATGGAGTTGTTTATAAAATTATATAGGCATCCAATTAAAAATTTATAAATAACCATTTTTGTGAATGCCTTCTTCACTTATGGGACTGAAGGGAATGCAATTTATTCTCAACTGTAAAATAAAAAAAAATACAATCATTAAAAAACACAATTGCTTTAAAAAAAAATTGTAAGATATCAGGATTGTAGATTAAATTTAAGATCATTTAAAAAATAACTTTTATCTGTAAATATTAAAAAATTTAAATATTATTCTTTTCTTTGCAAACTTCTTCCGTCTAATTAAATGAGAACATCACATAATATAATCACAGTAAACCTAAAACCCATAAAGATGTCTCACACAAATCCGAAACTCAATTGGCTTGGGTCAAATGTCAGCGAGATTATTGCGTGGTTGTCAATTAACTCGAACAATTAGTCTTCAATGTGGGCAGTCGAACAGAACTCATTTCCGTTCTGCTGCTGGTGAATCGGATTGAATGACGCATCGGAGCAGCAGAAGCTCAGTTCATTCCATTCTGTTACGCTATATCTGTTATCTTTTGTGGCTTGCACAATGTCAAGCGCAATGATGTGAGACAATTACTTTTGATTCGTCTCTGAAAATTAAATAATTTAAGATTATACGAACTAGGCAAGGCATTTGAACTTGAACGCGAAAATGCAACATAAGGAAATATTTTGTAGTGGGTAAATGAAATTACCTAAGATATACTATGAGAAAGACTTAGGTTTGTATTAAACTAGTGTGCCAATTGAGACGGGTAAATAGAATCTAATGCTTTTATGGAATATCATTATCATTCAAAATCTATTTATTTCTTGTAATTTGAAAAATTACTATTTATTTTAAAATTTAAGATATACATATTTGAAGAATATGTATAATAAAATGACAAATATATCTATATAAAATGTATGTAAAAATAAAAATATAATATATCAATATCCACAAAACTAACAATATAGAAAAAATAAATAAATAAATAACCACCTTAAATAAAAATATGAAATTTTCAAATACATGATGATACACAATAATATTATAATACATATTAATAAACTGTTAAATAATTATTAGGAATTAACAAAATATATATGTTGATTATTATTATATTCTAATGGAAGTAAATAGAGTAAATCCGACATATCAGCAAAGAAAGTCATCTCATAAATTTATTCATTTGCAGAAAATATTTCATAAAAAAAAATAATATTTTCTTTGCAGCTGCATCAACTGTTATATTAAAGCAAATGTAGCTTTAGACTTATATTCAGTACAAATAAAACTCTTGATATATTTTGTACCGTCTCATCAATTTATTTATAAGACACCATAAAAAGAGTGCTTCAATTACAATTACAATAAGTAATACAATATTACAAAGTTCTATAATAGTATATGAATGTGTGTGTGTGTGAGTATGTGCATGTGTGTGTGATCGTGTGAATCAATTAAATGAACCAATTGGCGTGAAAAAAATTGAATATATGAATTTTAGACTACAAATTTATTGATTGCTTAAGATCGAGCCAAGTGGAAACCTTTGAATGCTCTACAGCTACATAACAATTATATAGTTACGAATTCGTATTTGTTGTATTTGTATAGTCTGTGTAAATGGTAATTTTATGATATATATATATATATGTATATAACGAAATGTGACTGCCAGCTATTAGGTGCCGAGTGTTTGTGCCATTTGCATTAAAAGAGTTAAATGAAATTTTTGAAAATCGTTGCTGTTTGATGTGTTTTTGTGTTCTGTCTGCTCAAATGAATTTGTAAGAATTTAAATTCAGTTTTGCATCATTCGCATCATGCAATTAAGTGCAGTCTCCTCCCACATCATTTCACTTTTCCCAGCCATTGGCTCATTTGCATAGCTGCCACAGCGCGGCGAGCAGCGGCAACACCAGCAGCCCCGCCAGGCCCGACAGACCGCCAGCCGAGTTGCAGCCGTCCGTGGTGCAAGTGCGGCAGTAAATGGTCTTGATGTAGGATGAGGTCGTGTCCATGGCGCATTTGTCTGCCGGATCATCCACATCCTCGTAGAAGCAGGAGCGTGAAATTACCCGCTTGCCGTATACTGCAATGAAACGAATGCCATAATCAACTTTAAATATTTGCTCGACAACAATTTCTGCATTAATATATTCATATGCACATATTTATATATGTAGCTAAGTACACTGAGAGAAAAATGAATGTAATTTATGTGGCACGCTGCTTTGGCGTGGGCTTCGCTTCGGTTTGACTTATCTCAAAAATGTCATTTCAAATGTCGTCCAAATCGTCGATCAACTGCCGCTGGCTAATGGCTTCCTGCCAAATAGTCGAGCCATGAGGTAAGTGCAGCTGATGCAATATGCCAGAGGTTTTTTTTTTTCTGCCCATTAAATAGCAAACAAAAATAAAAATCCAACAATTTTCAAGCAAATTGAGCGCCTTCTTAGTACATGGAGCATAAACGTTTGCTTAAGGTAACCAGATTTGTTTTCAGCAGTTCAGCTGAGACTTGTTTATTTGCTAATATAATAAATAATTAAGCAAATGTTACAGCTATTTAAAATCTCAATCAATATGGAAAATTTATAAAATATTTTTTAATATGGCTGGATCAATGCTGAATGGTACTTTGTCTAATAATTATATTCCAGCCGATGTTTCTATTGACAATATATAACTGTTCAAATGCTCAGTAAAATTTGTCATTTGATTTTAAGCTACTACTTCAATAGGAATTTATTTAATTTAAAATTAAGTTTTCATATTTATTTGTAGCTATTACTTGATAGATACTTATTTAATATAAAATATTTAGAAAATTTATCAAAATATTTTGTTTAACTAAAAATAAACACAAGTTTTCAGCTGAGTTAATAAAAAAAAAAAACGTAGTAATTGGCTAACCAAAATTAGAGGCATACTAACTAGGAAGCTTCGATGAAAATTAATGCTGTCAATGTGAAAGCTCTATAAATAAAGCAAGATCAAAGATAAGACATAATATTAAATATCGCCAGCTGGAGCTGGCTGAACGGCAAAGAGACCACTAGCCAAAATGGGTTCAAGGCTTGCACTGCGCGAAACGCATGCAAGTTGAGTGCAATCGACTCTGCCTGACTTGGCCAGGCTAAGTCTAACCTAGGCTAGGCTAAGCTAGGCTAGGCTCAGGCGGGCAAGCAAAAACGCCAACAGAAAATGAGGCCTCCAACTATGTCCAGAGCTGGCCGCAGCATACACTGCCAAAATGAACGCGAGACTCGGCAAACCGAGACAATTTGCAATCAGCGAAACGGCAAATGAAAACCAGAAAAAATGCACAACAAATTGCGTTTCCCAATGCGTTAGTGTGCGTGCGTGTATGAGTGTGTGTGCGCAAACAGAACACAACAAAAACAATAACAGCAACAAATATCAAGCAAAGAAATAAAACAAAATCAACTAAAATAAATCGCAATAAAATGAAATAAAACTTTAAAAGCGACTCAAAAAGGTGCGCGTTGCCCATTTTTGTGATTGGCTGCAAGAAGAGGCAGTCTAGAAGCGCGAGCGAGATGGCACACACAAGCTGAGTGTGCATGAGTGAAAGAGAGAGAGCGTGCACAAGTCTCTAATAAAATTGTTGACAATTGTCGCCTTATCACGGCCGCGGCATCAAACAAGGCGCACAGAATGCAGTTGTCAGCTGCAGCAACCAAAGAAAATTGAAAATTTGCGAGCGCTAAGGAAACAGAAACCAAATCGCGCATACGCCGCGTGCGCGAGCTTGAAACCCGAGTTGGAAATGCAGCATTGTGTCATAAATTTAAATTTTAATTAATTTAATTATTTATTGATCGCAATGTGTGTGTGTGTAAGAGTGTGTGTTGGCAACATTTTTCACAGTAACAACATCCAAAGAGCCAACGCAACGCAATTGGCCCAAAATAGGCAAAAGCACAAAGACAACTTTTTGGTCGAGAGCAGCCAAAATGCAACAAGTTGCAAAATATTTACACAGTGACGCACAGTGACAACTAAAATGCAACGCACACTCACGCACACACAAACAGACATAGTCAAGCTAATAGCTAATTGCTTGGCTTGGCTGTTAGTTTTATGGAATTATGGAATACATTTTTAATTTGACATTTGCCAAAAGCTCAGCCAGTCGTCGGCCCAAACTTCATAAGCAATTAATTTAACGGCATATAAATTGACCAGCAGCAGCAACAACAACAACAGCAACTTCTACTACAGCAACAGCATCGCCTAGTTGCATTTTTCTCAGACTAACATTCTGCCTCAGCCCCAGTCTCTGTCTCTGTCTCTGCCTCTGCCTTTGCCCCAGTCTCTATCTCAGCATCTGCCTCTGGCTCTCGACTCCCTGCTCATTGCCGTAATTGAGCGCTTCACGCTGTGCAACAACTTAATTAATTTATATATATATAGATTTATATATATATGTTATATGTAACTATGTTTTTTATACCTTGAACCCATTGAAAATGGGAAATCAGGGTATAATGGTTTTGTGAAAAGTATGTAACAGGCAGAAGGAATCATCGCAGACCCCATAAAGTATATATATTCTTGATCAGGACGACGAGCTGAGTCGATATAGCCCTGTCCGTCTGTCCGTCCGTCCGTCCGTCCGTATGAGCAAAAGGATCTCAGAAGATATAAGAGCTAGAGAGCTGAAATTTGGCATGCATACTCGTGTATACCATAGGCAGTACGAGTTTGCTTTATTTTTTCGATAACTCATCCGATAACTTTTTTATCGAGAATAATCGAAAAATCGACTTGGTTTTTTCAGCCTAGTTTGAACACTTTTAAACCTGGAGACTTCAAATTTGCCTAGTATATAGAGTTAATGGACACAAAGATTTTGTAATTTACAGATTTTGGATACCACGCCCCCTTCGCCCCCAATTTGTAAAAAACGCATTTCAAGTACTAGAGACTTGTGCTTTGGATTGTACACACATTTTAACTATATGATTACGCTCTGAAAGTTTCATTAAGATTGTGTGTCTACAAAAGAAATTATTCAACAAATAAATTCTCATAATATTGCCCATACTGCAGCGCAGCCCAAGCGCAGTTGCTGCTTACTGTGCAGTTAGCAGAGCGCAGGCTTATGCGTGCGTGTGGATGCATGTGTATGTATGTGTGCATAAAAGAAGTGCAGAATGATAAGAATATCAGCTTAGAGGGTTCAGGGTATCTCCTAGTCGAGCAGTCTCGACTGGAGCCTTCTTACTTGTTTTTTTTTGTTTGTTTGTTTTCTTGTTGTTGCAGCTTAGTTTATTTCGTATATTATGTACTCGCCTTAAGCTGAGTCTTGGGTTGAGATTTGCCGTTTGCAATTTTAATTGCCAGCCGCAAATCTTTGCAAATATTCGCAGCGCCAATTTGTAGACGCTTGATTGCAAAAATTTAATGGTGTTCATTAATTGGCCATAAGAAATTTGGCCCGCTCCAAGCCAGGCACTTGATCATATGCCAAGCGATAAGATTATTTATGTGCAACAGTTTGTTTGCACTTTTTCAATTAGCGAATTATAATTCGATTACAGACAATTCAAGTTGAAGGTGAACTGAACTGAAGAGAAGTATGTGATCATAGGAAATGATAAAATTCAACTGATATATGTAGTAATGCAAAGCTTGATCCTGAGAGGCGTAAGCAGAGGTTGGATTTCTATAGACTTATACATAGTGTAAAGACAGTCAAAGTTCAACTTGATTTTAATTTAGTATTGAGAATATTCTTCATTTGCTCAGCAACTGTAAGCCCACAGAAAATACAGGCAGACATAGCACAGAGAGAACGTCCACAACGAGAGTGAGCATCTAAGAAGAACGAGCAAAGGAAAAGAACCTCGGACTAGCGAGAACAGGTAGAGCGGCATTCCAGTTCAATATTATGTGATCTTTAATATCATTAATTATTATTTTTGTTATATATTTTATATAATTTATATATTTATTTTTTTTATATTTTTATATATACATTTTTTTATTATTATTCATTTATTTACTTATTTAATTATTTTTTTTTCTGTAAATATAAAACAAGATGAAGCCTTTTATTTTCAATACAATTTTAGATAATTTTATCAACATATAAACATAATAATATCAATACTATCATTGAGGACACAAATCACTGCATTATTAAATCATTAAATATATTCTATTATACTTTGCCATAATATTTAAGATTTGACAAACAGAAATTGAATAATATATGTACGTTTAACGTTGAAATTATTATACTCGCTATATATTTGCAAGCAAATATTGTGCTCAAATTAAATATATATTCAATTTCAAGCTTTATAGCTGACAAATATTATACTAATAAAATGTCAATGACAATAAAAAAAATTCATTTACTATAAAACCATTTTAAATTGAACAAATTTATTAGTAAGCCAAGTTAAATCACAATTTTATGAATACCAAAATAATTTTTTTATGAACCGCAAATGGAAATCAATTGCAAAAATCTCAGTTTAACTCATAAAAAATATATATGTATACATTAAAAATGTTTATTTTTTGCTTTTGGCACTTGGCCCACTTAACAGACAACAATAAAAACGGAAATGAAAATGCAAAGCTGTGGACTCTTCTGCTGCTGCTGCTGTTGTTGCTCGCGTGGACAATAAAAAATCAAAAACTATTCACAAATATCAGAGTTAGATAAAACTGCAACGATACGCAACGTTTGGCAAATTGAGCAGTGTGGAAAAATTCAAATTCATTTTGCGTTTGTTGTTATTGTTGTTGCTTTGTTGCTTGTCAAATGCAAATGCCAACAAGCAGCACAATTTGCACTCGCCGCTGGCTGAACAATAAAAAATACAAAATAAAAGCGAAAAGTGCGCTGTGTTGCGGCCGCAGCCAAAGATCGACGACTGCAACACGAATATCACTCATACGCCGCGTGTGTTGGCGTTTGTTTGCTCTGCCGGCCACCGTCCCGCTCCCTTCCCTACCCACTATCTCTCTGTCTCCCTCTCTCTCTCTCTCTGGCCACATAAATTTGCCGTAAATTAGCGGCGCATGCAACTGGCATGGCCCGGCTTGGGCCAAGTGTCGCAGCCACTTGTTCAGTTGCGCTCGCCACGCCCCACCTCGACCCGACCCTCAACGCCTTGCGGCGTCGACGCCCAGCAACAGCTGGCAGCATGCAGCTGGAGCGTTCGCGATCGAGCAATTGTCTCGGCTGCGGCTGTGGCTGCCTCTGTGGATTTGTATGCTACACTTGCCGGCTCTGCTCTGTCAGGCCAATAAATCTCAATCTTGTTTGACGCTCTGTGGCAGGCAACAACAGGCGGCAACGACACGAGCGTGAACCACCGGTGGGTCGCCCCACTCACTCACCCAACAACAATGCCCATTGACAGTCCAACGGGCAGAGCTAAATAATTGCCTATCTCTGGTCCCTGCTGATCTGTGTGTGGTTTGTGGCTGTGGTGGTTTAGTTGTTTAGTGGTTTTGCGGTTTGTGGTTTGTGGCTTACCTTCCTGCACAAGTTTCTTGCAGACGGGTCGCGCATTCACCGATTTCACACCCACTGAATAGGTGCAATTCACATAGCTCCAGTAGCGCTGCTGCTCCGAGATGCTCTCTGACTGAAATGGATCGTTGCAGAACTCGCCATTGGACACGTCTGTGGAGCAGCGCCAACAACGTAGGACACCAGAGGCTGCAAGGGAATAAGTATTTTGCTTATAAGTTTGAGTTTTTAAATATACTTATTGATAACTTAACTTAAAGCTAATGAAATTATAGATGATAATCTATGGTATAACATATTATTTTATTTATATAGGTTTAAACATAAATATTGTCTTTCTATTAGCAACTGGAAGCATCAATTAAAATATTTAATATTTATTATCAGTCGAGCATTTTTTGTATAAATCTAAAATGCCCGAAATTTCACAACAATTTTGAGTTATTCCAACATAAGTGCAAATATATTTAGTTTATCAAACCGAAGGCAACTGGCAGCAGGCAGTGCTTGAACTTTAGTTAGATTTAATTTTAAATTAAATTGTTAATAAGATAGATTAGATAGATTTCATTTGAAATTAAATTAAATCAATAAATAAATGAAATTTAATTGATATTACAAAATTAATTAAATTATTATTATTTTTTATTTATTAAAATATAGATGATAATTTCGTATACCTTTACTTGTCTAGATAAAATTTGACTATGACTCAAATTAAACAATGATCTATATACATATATATATACAGTGATCTACATATATCTTATATAAGATTATAAAATATCCGCAGTCAATACGTGTGGGATATAAGATTTCCATATCTTACAATTATGATTTAATAATAAATTTAAAAACAAATTAAGAGCTTCCACCCTTTTGTAATATTTCATGGCCAGCTGTAATGCAAAATGTATAAATACCAATGCACGTCACGTAGCAAAGCTATTATAAGATATCAATACTCATTACAGAACGTAGGAGAATGTGAAATGCCATTTAGGTAGAGTAATATGTAATACATACGCCCTCTAGATATTTGACTAATTTAAACAAATTTGTATTCGATTTTCGTATCCGTAGCCAAATGAAAATCGTTAATACACTCGATAGCTACATCGATCACATTGCCATAATTAGCAACCATCTTTATGTGTATATATACGATATTTGGCAGAGTTTAATCATAAACTAAGTGAGTAGTTTTCGCTCTAAATTGCAATCAGGCGATGATTTTGATAGCCAAACTGCATAAATAATGGGCAATGGCAGAGATGCCCGCTGCGATTTGTTGGCTAGCCCGTTGGCCCGCTGGCGGTGGCTTTTGAAAAATGTGGCTAACTGAAATTAATTAGACACAGAAGCCTTTTAGCTGAGTTATTTATGGGACAGTCGATGGGAAACCTGCCTTATAAAAGTGTCAAAACTTTCGGCAGTTGGCGTTGTTTATGCGCACGATTTAGGCAAAGAGCGTGTAAATAATTATTAAACATTTTATTTGCCAGCTGAAAAGCGGCTGCTGTTCTTAAAATTGCATTGAAGTTTCTCTGAAGAGTGGAGCATGGAGCGAGAGCAGCGGATGTTGATGACAACAATATATATATATAAATAAATATATGTACATATATATATATATATATATAGATATTTTGTGCGTGAAACCCGTTTGTGCTTTGCCAATTTAAACGTCAAACGTTAACGTTCAGGTTAAATGCACTTAACTAACACTTTGAGGTGCGTTTAAATGAAAGCTTAGATAAACAGCAAATGGCCAAGTCGGGACAGTCGGGTGACAGGGCGACCGGGCAGCTGGTGCTTTAGACCAGGCCAAGCTGTGCCTGGCAAACGTGTTTGCTTTATTTATGTATTTTTTTTCTTTGTTCGCTACGCTTTGGCCATAAACAACGAACATAAACATTACAATTTTTGCGTGTATTTTGAATAAGGCAGAAATTGCAGCGAATTCGAAATAAAATCGAACTTCATTTGGTATTGCTTGGAAATTATTATCATTTACAATATATTGAAATTAATTGACAGTTGAATTGTCAGATCGTTGGCCAAATTGTTTATAGCCGTGTAGCACTGTGCGCGCAGTTGCGGTGGCAGTTTACTAATGGTAATGACTGTAATTGTATGCAACATGAAAATTGATATTGTGCGCGCGTTTATGCCAAATGTTTTGGCAGTTCCAAACAGCGACCCAAAAATGGTTACACACAAGCTAATAAGCATGATTGTGAGTGGGTATGTGTGTGTTGTGTGCGTAAGTAGTTGCTGGTTGATATACAAAATACGCTAGGAAAGTAAAAGCTTAAATAGTATTTTTCCTTTTACAAAACGAAATTAGCAACATTTTCACATTTCCTTATGAATTAGAAACCGTAACAACAAGAAATTTCTGGGGGAAGCTCCTTAAATAAATTTTTAAATATCTATAAGCAGAGCTGTACTTCCAATAGCTATAGCCAAATATAGATAATATAATGCATAAGTCGGACATATTTATTATTAATAAAATAACTAATAAATGAAGTTAATTATTTGAAACCCCTTATTTACTTAACAACCTTTCAATTAAACTACGTATACATATACATATTGTACATATAATAGATATACACATATAGATATATATATACTTTCAAGTAATTATCTTGCCTTTTCACTCCAAAACTTGGCTAACTTTTGAGCGCCGCACATAAAAATGGGGCGCGGCTATGTTATTAGCAAAGTTGAATGCACTTTGAGGCTCAGTAACGTTATATCTACGACTTGTGGTAGGCAATGGCATATGCAAAAGTTGGCAACAATAAACTAAAACTTAGTGAGGCCTGTGACTTTCCCATACACACACACACACACACACACACGCATGCATACACACTGCACACATGGCAAAGTTCGCATGCAATTTTTGCATTAGCTCGACTTACTTCAATAGAAATTTACTTTGCGTTATGTCTGGGAGTGAGAGCTGGAAGTTTTTGGCGCTTAAAAGCTGTAAGAAATGTGTTGATTATCCAGCAATCTGGCAATTCTGCCCAAAGGAGAGTAAGACGGAGGGGGGAGAGAAAGAGGCAAAAAAAAAGCCAGTCACAGTCGCTGACATGCTGTTCCATATCTTTGCCATAAAATCGACAACTTACGAGTGTCGACCTAAACGTTAGAAATAATAGGTGGGGGAAGGGCCGCCAGCTAAGAGACTCACATAAGCCAGTCGAGAGGGTGGCCCAAAGGGTGGTTAAAGAGGAGCTTAGGGGGGTCTGCATTGACTGACATGCAATCAAAGTTCGTTCAACTGAAATTTACAAACGACAATTGCGACAACTTGTCGAACGTTTTTAAAATTGTTTCGAATGGTTGTATGATTAGAGCTGCATTATATGGAAATAAGCTGGAATCGTAAATATTTACAGACATTCAGCTGGCACAGAAATGCAAAAGATTAGCATATATATGTATATGTATCATATTTAAATATGTATATACCATATAAGATTTATCAGAGACCCAAATATTCACACCCAAAAAGTGCGCACCCGCTACACTGTAAATCTGAAACACGCCCAAAAATAAAAGTTAAATACTTTGAAATTATAAAATTACACTGAAGTCAAAGCGCATATGCCCACGACTATTGTATACATAAATATTAATTATAAAAAAAATATATATATAATATATGCCTATATAAAATATGGTAGATTGACAAAAATAACAAATTTTAATTGGCATATAAAAAAATTTTTAATTTTTTGTTAACTAATGTTTAAAGCCAATTAATTTTAAAGCAAAATATTTTTTCATAACTTAAAAAAAAATTTTATTAAATTTATAAATTGTTTATTTTAAAAATATTTATTTTTGAATGTTTCTTAAAAATATTTATTAATATATATGCAGAAAATATATATTTCAATTAATTTTTAACTTTTTAAAAAAAATATTTTAAGCATCTGTCTGCACTTATTTATCATGCTCTTTGACAGTAATTTAAATTACAGGGTATTCGTAAAAAAAATTCCATTGCAATGCTAGAAAATTATTTAATGGCTTACACGTCGCACATTAAAATGATGACATTTTTACATGCTCTGGGTCTTTTGGGTGTGTTTTGGTTTTAAGGATTTCAGGGTTGGTTCGCATTATAATGATTGCTCAGATTGTATCTCAAGCAAATTGCAATGAGCCCCAATGCCCTGACATGCAAGTCAAATGACAAATTGTTTCGCTCACTCACTGAATTGCTTTAATTATGGAACTACTGCTTAAGCACATGCGCATTCATCATCTAATTAATATTTATGTATATATATATATATGCATATGATAATTATATACAGATTCTTAACTCGAACTTGGCTGGCATTTGAGATCATCAGAATGCAAAAGTGGATGACAGAATCAAATGGCTGTAAGTGAGATTTTTATGGCAATTCGAACTGAAACTATTTTTGTTTTCTAGCTTTCTGGCCTGCGAAATTTCGGAACGAAATGTAAAAAATGTGTAAAAACAACTTGAAAAGAAAAAGAAAACAAGGTCGCGAATGGAATGTGTGCCAGACTAAAACTGTCAGGGTCCATAGTTTTATTGAGGTGCGTGCGCCGAGCGAAGTTGCGAGTGGACACAATAAAAACAAAATTGACTGACAATGCGTCCAGAACCAGAAGCCCACGCCCATTAATTAACAACAACAAACTGCCACACGCATTTACTTCTAATTGGAGATATGACGACATCGTGAAGTTACAAGCTACAAAAGAAAATGTGGGCAGGCCTAAGACCTAAACTAAGGCTAAAAAAAAGCCATAGAAATAGAGTTTTTATATAATATTGTTACACGACAAAAAATGTTCACTGATCGTTTTCATAGCCCTAGAAAACTGCGCAGTAATTTAAAAAAATGTTTTGAACACAAAACAGGTTAAAAGCTGGAATACTGATTTTATATAATTCTTTAGAATAAAAAAAAAAATAAAATAAAATAAAACGCACAATTGAGAAACGAAGCGAGAAATCAAATCTGTAAAAAAAAAAAATACAATTTATTGTACTGCATTCTTTTGCCTGAAAGGGAAAAGTTATTGATGGAGAATTAGTTTGAAAGCATTTAGGCCTTTGGCTAGTCAATTTATATCAATTGATTCATAATTCAGGAACACAATTTCGGTTTGAGTTGAACTGATAAAATTATGAATATTTTCAGTTCATAACATAGAGACATTTACCATTTATTCAAAAAATATATATATGTATTCAGAAAGCTCAACTTTTTTAACTGTAGGTAATACTAATTGTGAAAATAAAAAAGTATAAAGAGTTTCTAAATTAATGAAATACCGTATTGCAAAAGCAATTAAAACAAAAATATCTTACTTTATACATTATACTTAATACATTTCATCTCATTCAACTTCTTAGCCCTTTTTATTAGGGCAATACAAATTGTACAAAAATAGAATTGGCTCGCCCTTATATCATTTCTTGTTTCTCAATTTGTGTGCGACAACTCATTTAGATAGTTCTGTTACAGTTTCAATTCAATTAAATTCAACCATTTGTTGTGTACTTTAATCAATTGAGCTGCAAGTTTTCTATTGCAATGCGGAAAATGGGGCACTCTTAATTCTTTAGAGTCTAGAAAATGGCACAGCTCACGGAATACATACATGCACATATATGTATATGTTTGTATTTATTTATATATCTACAAGTTAGCCTCATTTAATGCGCTCTATTTATGTCGTGAAGAGAATTTCTTTAATTTTTTTTTTGGTTAAGGTTGTGAAAACATTTTTCCACACAGGCCGCAGTCAGCTGGCAGCAGGCTGTCAGTATTGAAAGTATAAATAAATAGAATAACCGACAAATGCATAAATATCGTATATAAATAAATCATGAAATAATCTGCTGCAGGCACTTGAGGCAATGTTAAGTATACGCCCCAGTGACGACAATCATTATGGAGGCTGAGTGTTCTATGAGATGAGTGCATCTTAACAATGGCATTGATAATGCCCGACAGCTTATCAATTGAGGTCAAAGTGGAAATTGATTGATTATCGCTAGATAATAGAGCTCATTAATGAGGGTCACATTTAAAGTATGCGCCACGAATAGGCAATTAATCAAGGAAAAACGATAATAGGAGTAGTTGTAATAGTTTTTTCTTAAATTAAATGATGCCTCGCGATGCGAGTGACAGCTTTTCATATTTCTTATTGGTTCAGCGAACCCAACTAAACTCGAACCACTTGACGCGCGCCGAGTACACTTAATTAACTGGCACTGCCATGCAAATGCACGCAGAGAGTGTGAACACCCACCTGTACTCAGGCTCAGAGCGAGGGAGAGCAATCCCAGGAGGAGAACGCAGAATGCATAGGGCGACATGGCCATAAAGGGGTTAACAACTTGTTGAGGGTTTCTTATTTGAGCTGCTGCAAAATATTTTCCTCTAGTTTTTTATATAAATATGTTTGTCACACACACACACACACAGAAGATATTCAGATATACACTTAATTCACTGCTTTCGTATGCAAATTATTTCGTTAGATTTCAAACAATTCCGAATATATCTAGCCAGAGCACGACGAACGCATGCGACGCGTTGACAAACTGAAAGCGAACTGAATCGAAACTGAATACGAAAAAGCGGCACAAGTCACAGGCCACAGAAGCCAACGGGCAACGGGCAAACCGAACCAATAACAAAACGAACGAGCTCGATGCACGCTCGAATATGAGTGGGAAAGAGACAGAGCGTCACGTTCAATGAGCTTCGTTTCAATCGGACTGCACGCAGATTGAACGGCAGCATTGAAAGCGCAGTTAACTGGCGTGTGTGTGTGCGAGTGCGAGCGAGTGTGAGTGTGAGCGAGAGGGCAGACAGAGACAGCTACGCAGTGAGAGCAGTTGAAGTGTCGCTAGATTTTATATTGGAGTTCGTTATTTATATGGGCTCGGGTTGGGAGCTGGTTAAGCACTCGTCTATGGCTCGCACTTCTAATGGCTGCCACCACAAAAGCCAACACTTGCAGTTTCAAATGCCACACAGTGGGGAAAAAAAAACTATTACAACCTTTTGTATTGAAATAACTTTCAAAGTACTGAATAAATTCTATAAAAATGTATGTAGCCTAAATTATCATATATGTATGTATAAATATCGCATCTTCTAGAGATTCACATAATTATATTTCTTGTTTGTCAAAAAAGGATTTTAGATTAACTTTGAAAAAACCGAAGCTTTTTGTTAAAGCTTATGTCTCATTAAAAAAAATTGTTCATTTTATAAAATTTAGAAGTATCTAATCGAAAATAAACTATTTCTATATCTACATCCATTTATATATGAAATAGATAAATTAGTCTACTCACTTTTCTCATCATTCATCCCACTGTGCGCTTAGCCATTGCGTTTTCTTGCACCATTGACGCTTAATGACAGCCGCAGTCTCTCCGCTTGTCGCCTGCTCGGTCTTTGTCGCTTTGGCAGTTTGTCGGTTTGTCAGTCTGTCGCCAAGTTGCAATTGAATTGCTAACTGCCGTCCGTCCTCGACTGCATCTAATCAAGCGCGGATTTTGATAAGGAAATGCAACGCTGGCACTTTGAAGCGTGGACTTGGACTCTTCGCAGCCGCGCGCTGGAGAGGATGCCACCTAGAGCAATCTCTGCTTCAATTTGTTGCAGATATTTTATGCGTTTTCTATGGCATTTGAGGTTTGTCTTTTATTGTTTTTGCTCTTTTATGTTCTTGTCTTGCAACGGGAACTTTATGTGCTGAGAGTACTTTAACTAGTTATTCGTGACTTGGAGTACGTTGACTTATGCGTTATATGAGGCTGCTTAATATCCACAGCTTGACATTAGATCCATTAAGCTATAGCTCTAGTAAAAGGCAGCCAAGCACGTGCCATCTGGATTATGCTGGCAATGAAAATAAACAGAAAAAAATAAAGAAAGGATTTTGAAAAAATGTGTCTGCAAATAAACATAATTTATGGCAAAATAAATTCTTCCACATAAACAATTTTGGCAAGATTTTTCAAATATTTTGCGAATCAATTTTAAATTTGGAAAACAAGATAAACAAATTAAAAAACAAATATATATTTGTATATATTTATTGTGTATATATACATACACATCATAAATATAAAAGATTATATGTATAAATTTTATATTTAGATAGTTAATATGTATTTATATATAGAGAAAGTAAATATAACTCATGTGAATGAATATATAAGACATCAGTTTTGTGGGTTTTTCGTCTACTTCAGTTCAATGGACAACAAAATAACTATTAAACACCCACTAACTTGACCAAATACAGCCGCAAGGTAAATGCGCTTGACCAAACACAGAAAACAGAAAAGAAAACCACAACAAAAGTATGTTTGTACATAGAATCCATCAAATTAGCTCGAGGGTTCACTGAATACAACTCAAATCACCTTAAATATACGCCCAGACGTGACAAGACAAAATTATTCAAAGAAATGCTGTTCTTAGATGGTCACAGAGCGATATCTATTGGAAATCGGGAATTGCGGTGGTGTATGGGGGCTATGCGTAAGGTGCTTAGCAGGACAACGAGCCGTCGTTAGTTGTCCTGATTCCAATAGCTGACAGCTACCTACAAATTAGAAATAATTATAGTCCGACTATTATTTATATGCTTAGCGGTTCTACGAAATTGACGAGGGCAACAATATTCATGGCTTTTGATATTGTTTTATGTTGAACGTTTGCCCATTTGCTAGAGCCAATTAAATGAACTATGCTTAATTACCATATCATAAAGGGCAGCTCATATGCACAGCTTAGGCTAAAAAGAGTCTTTAAGCCTATTCATTTCTTTGCACATCTTTTCCATTTCATTTCCAGCTCTATGACGATTCCTCTACGACAATTTTTCAATGACAGGCCGCACTCCCATTTGACGGTCATTAACGTTGAGGCTTGTTACGCTATTTCGTGTAAATAATAAACCTTACCTAATTATAGGGCAATTGAGTTTATAACTCGGCTCAAGTCTCAGTCAAGCCATTTGATCCGCGTTGTAATTTGAGTTATCTATCAAAAGTAAATCTAACCACAGCGGATGTGCAACTTATTAAAAAACACACAGACAATTAGAATAATTAAGAAATTAAAAAGCTCTGATGTAAATCTTCAAAATGATGTCACAAAACGGCGACTATACTTAATGTAATATAATTGTTAAACATGTCTATACTCGGTCCTTAATATTCAACATTAAGTATGTCCATAAAGTAGATCAGAAACGAGCATCAGAAATTTCATTTTCATTTTTAACTAGATGAGTTAATATATACATATACGTATATCCAAGCTGTTATACCTATGGATACAACTGGAACTTGAGGCTTTTTCCTTATGATTCGAGGTTAGTTTATTGCAATCTACAATGCATAAGCCTATAACTGAATTATTTCACTGTCTTACAATGAAATACTTCAAATACGGAAAATAACGAAATTTTCAGCTCAAAATTTAGTAATCTTAGCGGAAACTATGTACATGAGGATATAGACAAGGAACTTGGTACACTCTATGTTCATAGTGGAAAAAAAATGTTTACCGATAAAATTACTCAAACTAAGTTAATGTTCTTCATAAAAAAGGAGGAAGAATTGTACATAAATATTGACTTGATACTGCCAAAAACACCTACCTCTATGCAGTTTAGATTATACCTTCAAAGTCTTATAACCAAAAGTCAATATCCAAACCACTTGTTTAGTCAGTACACAAACCTTCAAATGCCTATCATTTGCAGCCCTGACAAACCTTAGAGTTTGAACCCCAATAGCAACCGGTAAAAAAATTACCATGGCAACAAGCACAAGCAAAACAAAATAAATAATTTCTACAGAAAAAGCCGAAACAAAAAAAAAAATGAAACTCAAAACCCGCATTTGTAAAAGAAATTCAGCTAAAGTATCGGAAAATCCACAAGAGCGGATTAAACCATTAAATAGCTATCCGCTGAGCTGTGTGGACTGGAGCAGTAATGAGGAGATCTATTTTGTCAGGTAGCAGAGAAAATACATGCAGACTATCTTGTAAATGTTTGGTAAGCATCTAAGGGTTATACACATTAAATCCCAACAGCGATGATCACCAGATCTACAAGTGGAACGATGTGAGTCGCGATACTGTGGAGGTGGCCAAGCTGCCGGATGACTTTATACCCACGGATATGCACTGGCTGCTGTTGGGTGGCCGCAGCAGTGGCGGTGGCAAGGGCAGCGATACGCTGCTCATTTGCAGCACCGACGGACGCTTCGTCATATTGAACAAGAGTGCGCGGGTCGAGCGCAGCATTTCCGCCCACACGGCGGCAATTAGCTCGGGTCGCTGGAGTCCCGATGGCGCTGGCCTGTTGACCGCCGCAGAGGATGGCGTCATCAAGATCTGGTCGCGATCTGGCATGCTGCGCTCCACGGTCATACAGAGCGACGAGCCCATCCGCTGCGCCCGCTGGGCGCCCACCTCGACGGCCATTGTGTTTAGCCAGGGTGGCCACATCTCCATCAAGCCGCTAGCAGCCAATAGCAAACTGATAAGGGTGAGTTGTGGAGGGTAAATTTATTACATATATATACATGTATATGAGCCATCTGAGAGTAGAGTGATTAGTATGAGAGTAGAGTGATATAAAGGTTTTCAGTTATATTTATACTTCTCATATGGGAAATGGAACACTGATTATTCGAAATGATCGAGAATTCTTGTCTGAGAATTTGTATATAACGAGGGTCAACACAACAATTCTAAATCAACATGGCTTACATATTTGTCGATATTAGGCTAAGAATAAGGTCGTTTATTTATCAGATTCTTCCATACAGCTCAAAAGTAACCTAGATTGTTTTAATATAGAAATATACTTGTTTATCATGAAGCTGATCAGAGTGATAATACACATCGGTTTCCACAGTTAAAATTTGCACTAAATCCAAATACAGTGAACAACTAAATATTTATACAGTTACGTCAGTTCTCTAAAACACATTCAGAGGTAACCGAATCCGTTAATTTGATTATCCATTTCAGTGGCGAGCCCATGACGGTCTAGTGCTGTCTCTGAGCTGGTCAGGGCAGTCGAACATTATAGCCTCTGGCGGTGAGGATTTCCGTTTCAAGATCTGGGATGCCCAGGGTGCCAGCCTATATACGAGTGCGGCCGAGGAGTATGCCATAACGAGCGTGGCCTTCAATCCGGAGAAGGAGTACCTGCTGGTGGGCACCTTCAACATGCTTAAGCTGTGCCACAGCACGGGCGTAAGTGCCACGGCCAACGCAGCCTTGCAACGCGCCTGAATCTGAACCATCTTTGCCTTGCAGTGGTCCTATAGCAGTGCACGCTTCACGGCGCCGTGTGTGGGCTCCTTCTACACCTTGTCCTGGTCGGCGGATGGCACTCAGGTGGCCTGCGGCAGTGCCACGGGGCAGCTGATTGTCGGCTACGCTGTGGACCAGCAGCTCATCTCGCGCAACCTGAAGGCAACGAGCACGGGTCGCAAGTGCATTGCACTCCAGGACATCGCCAATGGCAGCAAGGATGTGCTGGAGTTTCCGCAGCGGGTCATCAACTTTGCCCTCGGCTATGGACATCTGGTGGTAGCCACCACCCATCAGCTGCACATCTATAACGAGAAGTACATCAACACCCCGATCATCATCGATGGCCGCAACGATGTGCGCGTCATTGAGGTGGGCAAGAAGTGAGTGGCCAAAGTTAAAATGCAATTGCCATTCTCTGAACTTGCCTCGCCCCTTTCAGGTACTTCATGGTGCTGGATGCCGCCTCCATTTGGGTGTACACCTACACAGGTCGTCTGCATCTCAATCCCCGCTATCCGGGCTCGCAGGCGCAGCTCCCGCTGCTCAACAGGCGCTCCATTTCCCTGGGACTCGATGTGCTGGCCATACGAGACAACTCGGAGACCTCACTGCTGCATCTCTTCGATCTGATTCCGGGCGCCTCACGGCAATACGAGCCGCAGTCCCTGAGAGCCAAGCAGCAGCTGGCCGAGATCGCTGCCTGTCGCGCCGGCAGTCCGGACGATCAGTTCATCGCCTTCATTGATACCAATCGAGAGCTGTACATCAGCGAGACACGAAACATTAGCGGCAACTCCTCGACAGATCGCGCGGCCAATGACTCTGACGAGATCCACAAAATCGGCACTCAGCTGACAGCCATCAGATGGGCCAGCGAGACGAACATCTTAGTAGGTGTGCACGACTCCTGCTACAGCATATGGTACTGTCCTGGCGAGGGCTCTGCCGATCCCACCATCATCGCCCTGACCACCATCACACTGGACACAGCGTACGTTCAATACCCTAAACACCAAAGCCGCTACGCTCAAGCATGAGAGTATTCTCCTGCCAGTCAACTTGCCAATCATATCAGTTGGTATTCTGAATGCCATCTGTAGGTTCTAATGGGCAGTTAATGTTCTTCAAGTTTCGGGAAAGACTTACTGTTAAAATGTTTCTATTGGTCGCTTATAGCTTGGCCAAGAAGTTCTCCTAGTTTGGGAATCACAATTTAAAATTTGTATTATGCTAACGTTTCAAAATACTATTTAATGTAACTGTTTTCGAAAGACTCGAGTTACTTGATTTTGGTCTTGAAATCAAAGATAGCTGAGGTTTACTAAAAAAGATTCCCATATCCCATAAGCTTGGCCTAAGCCCTAAGGTATCTTCAAGACTGAGCTTTGCATATTTTAAATTCAGAACTTTTTCTTCGCAAAGTACTCCGATCTAAACTTTCACTGCACTCTTGAATTGCTCCATTGTTAACATCCCATTGATTAAAACCCCCTTTGATTCTGCCCTCCTTTTCAGTGAGTTTGGCAAACACGTAGCCATCGATAGCTTTGAGGATGCCGTGATTACCTTTCGCTGCGCTGGCGCTCTGCTGCCGGTCAACGTGAACATCTACTGCGAGGTGCTGCATCGCACTCTGCAGGAGGGTCAGTGGCAGCAGGCACTAAGAATCTGTCGGCTGGCGCAGCACACGAGTCTGTGGGCCACGTTGGCCGCCGTCGCCACGCGCAAGCATCAGCTGCAGCTCAGCGAGGAGGCCTACTCGGCTGCCCTGCAGATCGACAAAGTGAGCTATCTGCAGTACCTAAAGACGTTGTCACCATCGAGCGCCGAGCAGATGGCCGAGAACTCGCTGATGCTGGGCCGCTTGCTCGAGGCGGAGACCATACTGCTGCACAATCGCAAATATGAGCAGGCCGTAGCACTGGCCCTGCGCATGCACAGCTGGAAGCGGGCACTCGAAATAGCACTGAAACATCAGGCGGAGCAGCCCGACTTGGAGCTCGTGCAGCGCGTGCTGCGGGAGCGACAGTGCTACCTGAAAGCCTTGCAGCGCGATGAGTGGGATGCACTGTATCTCAGTCAAATCAAAGACGGTAATGTTAGTGAATAAAAATGATCAACTCAAAAAAAAAAAAAAATAAATAAATAAATAAAATAAATAATAATAATTTGTTGTAGAATGAATTGCTGAAGGACAATAAATTGTCATCAAATTTAATAAGAAAGTAACGCAAGAGATCAATTAAAATTGGTAAGACTTTGGTATATTTGCCATCTTGTTGAAAGTTCTTAAAAGTTGCAAAGAGTGACTTTTAATGTCAGCTATTTGCGAAAGATTTAAGATTTTATCAAAGTCTACTACTTTTCTTTTATTTATTTTAAGTCTTTGGACTATCTACGTTTTAGTTTTAGTGGAATCGCAGATTCCAGAATTTCTTACATTTAACAATTACAAATATTCCCAAATTGTGTTTCAATTTTAACACTTGCACTTACATAATTTTAATATCCCGATTCGGCTCAGTTCAATAAGCTGGTCTAACCATGGGCTTATCCTCGATAGCATTTATAATATTATTCGCTGCCAGGAGACTCATTTCAATGGTTGTCTTCATGGTCTGGGTGCCCAGATGGGGCAGAACCACTGCAAGATAAATTGGCTTAGAATAGATTTTATTTAAATAAATTTGAAGTAAAACTCACCACAATTGGGCAGCTTAAGAATGAGACTATCTGCAGGCAAGGGCTCTGGAGTGGTTACATCTAGACCCGCAGCAAAGATTTGTCCACTGCTCAAGGCCTTATGCAAATCAACCTGATTAACCAGACCTGCAATAAAATATATATCATATAAATATATGTTATATTAGAGATATATATTATATCATTTATATATATTTAATACTCACCTCCTCTGGCCACATTGACAAACACTGCGCTGCATTTCATTTAAGCAAAGGCCTTGGCATTGAACCTCTCACGCGTTTCGTTGGTGAGTGGTGCAGCAACCACCAGAAAATCGCTTTCCTGCAACAGACGTTCGAAGGGCACGTGCTCTGCCTTGTAGTCTATATCGTTTTCTTTGCGATTCCGTGTCGTATAGATTATCTTGGCCACGTCCCAGCACTGCAAGCGCTTGGCTATAGCCTGGCTAATGCCACCAAAGCCAAAGAAACCAACAACTGAGTCCCGAATCTCCACGCCCATACGCCAATCAATTTGTTCCGTTAGCCACTGAGAGCTGTAAGAGATTGAATTCAAATTGAAATATAATTTATAAGAAATAATTAATAAATAATAAAATAAATAAATATGAAAATATAGATTAAAAAAAAGAATATTTTAATAAAAAAAAAAAAAATTAAAATTAATTAAAATTAAAAAGAAATAAAATAAAGTATTAAGACCAATTTAATATCACCTATGTATGTCTGTTTACATCTAATAATAATAACGTTTACCCTCGATCTCTATTCAAAAGTTTATGTTAAGTTGGCAGACCGCAAAAAGCACAAAAGCTCTTTGCACAAAGCTTTCACGCTCAGCTGCTACTTACGTCTCAATGTCTCTGCGACCCGCATGAAAATGTCGACCAGCTGCAATCATGAGGCCAATGGCCAGATCTGCCACCGAATTCTTTACCACGCCCGGCGTATGGCCCAATGGAATCTGGCGACGCTTGAATTCCTCCACATCCGCAAAGTCAATGCCCGAGGACATGGTGCTGACGGCACGCAGCTGCGGCCCGGCTGCATCGAGAATGGCCGCATTCAGCGGCTGATAGTGTGCCCAGAATATGGCATCGACACCGCCCACCTTCTCCAGTATCTCGTCGCGGCTGGGCGGCACACTCTGGCAGATGATAGTCTCGGCGCCGCGAGAGCGGAGCAACTGCAGCGCCGCCACCGGCACCTGTGGATGCGAGACGAGTACTTTGAACGCTCGCGAAACGCTCATTGTGAACTGAGCCACTCGGTATTTAGAGAAAAACTAAAGCGTGCCGAAGCGTAAACAATGATTGAGCTTTTTCTCTCAAGCTTTCACTAGCTTCTATCCACTCTCTTCTCCCTCACTGTTTGGCGTTTCTGCTCTTTGTAAAATAAACACTCAGAATTCAGGCAAAACTAACTTCATACAAAGTTTTCAAGCTCTCGTGCACCTTCCTCTATTGCTGTTGCTCTCCCGCTTCCTCTCTGTGCCTTATTCAGTCTGTTTACTGTTTCGTTCTTCTCTTTACTACTCTACTACCCTTACTCCTACTCTTGCTATCGCTGCTAATTAGCTTCCTGGATTTAATGAGAAATAACATATACATACGTATGTATGTAGGTTTTATTGACAGACTGCTCAAATGAAAACCTTGACAAGAGAAATCTACTATTGGATACTGCATATACATATGTATGTATATATGTATTTATACATATATACATAATATATACGCATACATATACATATGAATGATTTAAATAGGTCTTCCTGTTCAGTTTCGAGGCTAATTTCATAAACAAAATATTATATATTTTGTTACACATCTCCATGACTCAAGTCTTTACACTTTTCATTCTTTCAATATTTATATTAAAAATGATATATGTATAAGTAAACATATATACGAACATATGTATAGAGCTTAGTGAGCTATCTAGTATAATTAGACACGAGTTTTCAACAAAAATATGAGCTTGTCAAATAATAACCTTGATTTGACCTACATTTTTTTTATGTTAACTGTCTTTATTTGTATTTACAGCTAGGGACATACTATTGTAGATAATAGCCCAATAAGCTAACTTGGTTTTTGGTCAGCCGGATGAACAAGAATTTTAAGTCTGATTGATTGATTGATGGATTAAGATCGAAAGATCGATGACCGAGATAAGGTAATTTTATATATCTATAGTAAGACAAGATTGATAATGCAATAATAGTTAAGAATTTCTGTTTACTTTTTAATTTGTTGAGTTCACACAATTGTCTGCAATTAATTTGCATAGCACAGCTCGTCGTAGACCTTCAAAGCTTCCCATAGTTTTTCCATAATTCTTTTATAGTTTTCCCAGAGCTTAGTAAGCCGGCGAGAGCATGCGCTCACCCACCAAGCCGCGCAGCACATTGTGAGCGGCTATGGTGGCCATGTCGGAGCGGGTGCGATTGGTGGCAGATCCAATGTGGGGCAGAATAACTGAAATAGAAGTGAAGCGGTTGACCTTGAGTTGCATAAAGAGACATGTACTTAAATCTACTATACAGAAGAAACCCAACTGAGGCCAGCAGCGAGTTCTTTTTTTTCTGGAACTAGAAGTCAAACAAGGTATGCGGTAACAAAAGCTCAAAAACGACTCGATTTGCTATGAATCACAGTGGAACCTCGCTGCAATTAAGTGCAAGCTAAACGTAACAGGTGCTGTTTAATTTAATCAACCATGTGAACTATAATATATAGGTATATTGAAGGCAATGTTACCCTCAGTATAAACAAAATTTCCTGACCTTTTCATTTCAACAATTTTGGACTATATCTTGCCTAAGAGATAAGCTAACAAGATATACTGCCTAACATTAACTTGAATTTACATATGTTATACACAAAAAAAAGCGTCCTTTACCATTCACTACTACCTATAGAAAACATAAAGTTTGGTGCGCTCTAAGTGACAAAATAAACAGCAAACTTGTATGATGATAACCCAAAATTGTTTATAGATGACCTAAAAAGAACCTTGGCCATCAATTTACAAACTAAAACAACAACACAACTCTCTACAAAATAAAAACAGAAAGCGAGTGTAGATAAGAGTTGAGTAAGAGATAAGTTAGCTAACTGAAAAAGCATATATATATATATAGAGATAAATTCACTTACTGATATTGTCGAGTGTTAGCAACTTGCTATTGGGCGGCAGTGGTTCGGGATCGACAACATCGAGGCCAGCGGCAAAGATGCGGTTCGACCTGAGCGCATCGTACAGATCATTCTGATTAACAATCTCTGATGAAAGGGAATAATTTAAAATAAATGAAAAAATAATTAATTAAACAAAACATAATATAAAAGCTTTCACTTACTGCCACGTGCAATGTTGATCAGCACAGCCGTATTCTTCATCTTGTTGAAGGCGGTGGCATTGAAGACGCCCTGTGTGGCAGCTGTGAGTGGTGCGGCGATGACCACGAAATCACTCTTAGTCAGCAGCTCATTGAATTCCACTTTCTTGGCATTGAGCTCCTTTTCGGTCTCCCTGTCGATGCGACGCCGTGTGGTGTAGAGCACCTGATCGATATCGAAGCCAGACAGACGCTTGGCAATGGCCTGGCCGATGCCACCAAAGCCGTAGAAACCAACCACCGAGTCGCGCACATCCTGGCCCAGCATCCAGTTCAAATGATAGTTCTCCCAGTTACCCCTAAGCCAAGCCAAGGATAATTCATATTAACAATATTCAAGAACATATCGAAAGTCCCACTCACGTTTCGATCTTCTTGCGACCCTCGTGGAAGCGACGACCGGCTGCAATAAGCAGACCCACAGCCAGATCGGCCACAGCGTTGTCCAGCACAGTGGGTGTGTGACCCAGCGGTATTTTGCGGCGCTTAACCTCGTCCAGATCGACGTAGTCGATGCCAGCGGACATGGTTGAGATGGACTTCAGCTGGGGTCCCGCTGCATCCAAGACCTCGGCATTGAGAGCCTCGTGTCCACCCCACAGAATGCCATCGACTCCGCGGATCTTCTGCAACAACTCGGACCGCTTGGGCGGCAGACTCTCCACACGCACCAGCTCACAGTTCTCATTGAGCAGGTCAATGCCCGATTGGGGCACCTCCGGGTGCGTGATCAACACTTTGAATGGCTTGGCAGACATTGTCTTATTCTTGGCTCTGCGCAAAAGGGAAGCATCACTGGGTGTTAGCAACAGAGCAGCAACAAGTGCCAGCAGGGGCAGAACTTTAAATATCGGACGCATACTGCTCAAAGCTAGGTTCGGCAAGTAACTGAGCTGAGCCGCTTACCCACCCCGACTTAAGTAGCGACTGCCTCTTGGAGAGCAGCCCAGGCCCCTGAAAGCCGCAGCTGCCTTTGACAATGAGAGCCGATAAACTTATGAACCTGTTTAGCATGCTAAGTGAGCTCTGATTCGATCTGAATCGGTGAGAGTGTGTGTGTGTGTGTGGGAATGACTGTGCTCTTTAGCGCCTATATCAAATACCGGTTTACAGGAAATAGAGAGGGGGTGAGAGAGAGAGATTGGAGAGTAGAGACTGCAACAGGAATTGATTACGGGTACAGGAATTAATTTTTAACTGAAATCACGACATATAGTCAAGGTAAATGCCAAATGATTTACTAAGTAAGAGAGAATTATAGAGCTGATAAATTGTGTGATGCTTATCAATAAGAAAAGGAGCTTTGATTGCCTCAAATTGTATAACGAAACAGACTACAAATAAATAAGCACTTTAATATTACTAACAATTTTATAGTTTCTTATTTTTTGGGAATATGCTTTTTTTAAAATTGATTTTATATTTAAAAAACTAAAATAAAAATAAAGTAGAAATATCAACTAATTATTTATAGATTCTTCGCATATTGCTTATATATGCTAAAAACCTAAAATTTTAATTTATAATAATTTATATATTTATTTTATATTATAATATGCAAATTTTTTTTTTACAAACAAAATTAATGTATTTACTACGAGTTATTTTTAATCCGATTTAATTAATAAAACTGTATTATTTCTTTGAACTTATCTTCAATTGTTAAATTAAATAGCTTTATTTATATTGACATATTTTTAATATATTTTTTAAAATAATTTTTATACTGACAAAAAAAATGTTTATTATCTGGTTATATATTTAATTTTTTAATATTTTTATCTTTCTGAATATTTCACAACTTGTATAGCAGAAAAAGAGCTCAATTAGCATTGTAAATGACAAAATAACAAATAAAACCAAAAACCAAAAACTTTGTCTCTGCGTTGGATCACTAAGAGCTCAATTTGCCCACAAATAATACGTCACTCAGCAAAATAATCATATAAGAAAAAAATTAACTGAACTGCTGCTTGCCTTATTTCCAACTGAAATATCAACAGAGCTTACGGCAAAACTTGCTGAAAGCTCTTAAGTGCTTCAATCACTCTCTCTCTCTCTCTCGGTCGCTCTCTCATTCCACTTACCCACTGTTACTCAGCTGGCAACGGGGAAACTTAACAGCTGCACGTTTGCCGGTCGACTGATTGGAAACATAATCAAAGGCTACCTTTTTATACAGTTACTAACTTTGGCAATACTCAGCACCAAGTTATTAATTGCTGATAAACGTTTTTTTTTCGATGAGCAATTGTGAAATAAAAATTGTTTATGATTAACGTGTATTGAATGCGTTTATAGCAATCGAAGCTCTGATTATCTTTTCAGCGATGGGGTCTAGCACATTTGACTTTATTTCCAGCCCTACTTCACTCTTTTTTACTTTTGTTTATCTCGCTCTACCAATGCAATGCAATTTGTTGCTCTTTTGCTTATCTAGTTTTCTTTGCTCGCTTCTTATCGGCATAGGCAGGCAGCTTTCTGTCTCTTTCGCTCTGTGTGAGATTGAGCGAACTCTTTAGCTGGCCAGCTGCTGAAACGAGCTGCGCGCCTGCTCAAAATACCAGTTGGGGATATATTCCCATGTCACTTGTGACGCTCGCATGCTAGCCAATTTCCAATTGGAATGGCACAACTATCCCCAGATTTAAGTGAAGTCGAGCCGCGTAGCCGCGAACCGCTAAGCTCCACTATTATAAATATATTTAAAACTTTCCAGTTGTTTACGTGAGGAAAACATTTATGTCTAGATTTCTAAGTAAACAATTTTCCTATATTTTGACATAACCTTGCTTAGGATATTTCGAAAAAGTCTGAAATGCTGAAAGAGACGAGCAATTGTAAAAATATTAGTTATTAGGGTCAGGAGATCTTAAATGGAAAACAGCTCTTACTTTTTTTTATAAATTTCTTTAATTCATAATTATGCACACACTTGTTTGCAATTAATTTGCATAGCACTATTCATTGTAGACACTATAGATTTTCCACAGGTTTTTCCATAGGATTCCTAGTATGCCGGCGATAGCAGGGGCTTACGCTCCAAGCCACGCCGCAAATTTTCAGCGGCTACGGTGGCCATTTCATAACGCGTGCCATAGGAGGCGGGTGCAATATGGGGCAGAAGAACTAAAATAGAAGTGAAGCAGTAGATAGGAGAAGCAGAACAGATAAATATGTAGTTTATTTTGATCGTGCTAATACTCGTAGGGATAAATGCACTTACTGGCCTTGTGGAGTGGAATATTTTTAATGGTCAGTGGTTTGGGATTGATTATATCGAGGCCAACCGCAAAGATGCGATTCGATAGGAGCGCAACTATCAGATCCAGCTGATTGACAACCTCTGAATTAACAAGAGTTAATGAAAGGAGAATATTGAAATATCACATTAACCACAATAATTAAATTATTTTAATAAAAACTAAGAAAGCTTCAGTCGAGACACCTTGATTAACAGATTTACAAGGAAGAGGATGAAGTTGGAGCTGGTATCCAAAATGTAAGTATATCGAAATTGTAAAAAATGTACATGAATCGGAAAGCAACATTTGGAGAATAGAGCGCAAAATGCTTGAGATATAATTTTGTAATATATGTTTTAGAAGGTTCTTAGCCGATAGCATTAAAAAAAGAAATGTTATCGATATTTACAAATAAACTGGCTGTGCACGTGCTATACAGGAACCAACCATACATTATCAATTAACTCTCTAGCTCCAAACGTTTCTGAGATTGATGGCTCGTTACCCTAATCAAGACTATACATATGTACTTAATGGGGTCTGTTACGCAAATTATACCCTGAGTTTCCAATTTAAATGGGTTCAGGGTGTTAAATGTAAATGAAATAAATAAATAACTAAATAAATAGATAAATAAATAACTTAAAACGAAATAGATAATCCACTTACTGTCATCTCCAATGTTGATCAGCACAGCCGTATACTTCATCTTGTTGAACGAGGTGGCATTGAAAACGCCCTTTGTGGCAGGTGTGAGTGATTCGGTACTGACCACGAAATCGCTCTTAGCCAGCAGCTCGTCGAAGTCCACTTTCTTGGCATTGAGCTCCTTTTCGGTCTCCCTCTTGATGCGACGCTGTGCGGTGTAGAGCACCTGATCGATATCGAAGCCAGACAGACGCTTGGCAATGGCCTGGCCGATGCCACCAAAACCGTAGAAACCAACCACCGAGTCGCGCAAATCCCGGCCCACCATCCAATTCGGAAGATTATTCTCCCACTTACCCCTAAGCCAAGCCAAGGATAATTCATATACTCAATATTCAATAGCATATCCCAAGTCCCACTCACGTTTCGATCTTCTTCCGACCCTCGTTGAAGCGACGGCCTGCTGAAATAAGCAGACCCACCACCAGATCGGCCACAGCTTTGTTCACTAAAGTGGTCACCTGACCTAGCGAAACATTGCGGCGTTTCACCTCGTTTAGATCGACGTAGTCGATGCCGTCGGTCATGGTTGAGATGGTCCTCAGCTGGGGTCCTGCTGCATCGAGGACCGTGGCATTGATAGCCTTTTTAACGGCCCACACAATGCCATCGGCTCCGGGGATCTTTGCCATGATATCGGTAAGTGTGGGCTCCGCGTGCACCAGCTCAATATCGTCCTCTAACAGATCAATGACCCGTTGGGACGCCTCTGTGCCCGTGATCACAACTTTGAATGGCTTGCCACACTTATTGTTACCGCTGCGTCGAAAGCAAGCATCACAGGGTGTTAGCAACAATGCAACAACAAGCGCCAGCAAGGGTAGAACTATAAATATCGAAGACATACTGCTCAGAACGAAGTCCAGCAAACAACTAAACTGATCCGCTTATCCACACCGACTTAAGTAGCGAAAGCCTCTTGGAGAGCAGCCCCCTGAAAGCCGCCTTTGGATATATCTGTGTGTGTGTGTGTGTGTGTGTGTGTGTGCTCTTTAGAAAGGTTGTGATAGAGGGAGGTAGGGAGAGAGCGAATTAGAGATATTGATAGAGGAAGAAGAGGTAAAGAGATCGGAGAGCAGAAATCAGATAATTTGATATGCCGAGCCACACTTTATTTATTATTTTTCATATTTTCATATCGTTCTAGATATTTGTCATGTTTAATTAACATTGTAAAGATCAAAAAAACGAACGAAATCAAATTATTATTGGTCTCTCCCTATGTTTGTGGTGGATCACTAATAGCACATCTAATACGCCACGGCAAAATAAATTTAATTTAAGCCAAGCGTCCGTACGAACAGACGTATAGATGGAATATTTTCTATATACATATGTACATATATATATATATATATATATATATATATGTATATCCTAGGAAACTGTTGAAATTTGAAACACATACTCGGGTTGGCAACCCGATGTGGCGTATATATCTACGCCCATTGGTGGGCGTGTATAAATAAGAAAACTTTCTACAGTTTTAGAGCTCTTATTATTATTTTTTTTTTATTACTTTTATTCATATTTATTCACACAATTTCTTGCAATTAATTTGCCAAGCACTACTTTTTGCAGGCTTTCTAGGTTTACCATAAGCTTTCCAAAATTCTCCCATAGTATTCCCGTAGGTTTCCTAGTAAGCCGGCGAGGGCATGGGCTCACCCGCCAATCCGCTCATAATATTACGAGCGGCTATAGTGGCCATGTCCTTACTCGTGCGATAGGAGGCAGATCCAATGTGGGGCAGAAGAACTAAAATAAAAGTGAAATGGTTGACCTCAAGTTGCATAAAACCATAACTTAAAATGCATGTACTTAAAGAAGAAGGCCTTGAGCTAACTATACATATGATATATATATTAGGGATAAATTGACTTACTGGTATTGTTGAGTTTTAGCAGATCACTAGCGATTGGCAGTGGTTCAGGATCGAAAACATCGAGGCCAGCGGCAAAGATGCGATTCGTACTGAGCGCTTTGTACAAATCAATCTGATTAACAAGCTCTAAAAACACAAGAAATCAAAAAGGGATGAAAGAAAGACTTTTAATAAAAAATAAAAATAAAATAAAAAAAATAAAAAGGTAAACAAAACGAAAGAGTTACTTACTGCCGTTTGCCACGTTGATTAGTACACCCGTATTCTTCATCTTGTTGAAGGCGTCGGCATTAAAGACGTTCTTTTCGCCAGCTTTGAGTGGTTCGGTGATGACCACGAAATCGCTCTTACCCAGCAGCTCATTGAATCCCACTTTCTTGGCATTGTACACTTGCTCGATATCCTTATGAACACGACTTAGTGAGGTGTAGAACACCTGACCGATGTGGAAGCCAGACAGACGCTTGGCAATTTCCTGGCCGATGCCGCCAAAGCCGTAGAAACCAACCACCGAATCGTGCACATCCTGGCCCAGCAATAGGTTCACACTATTACTGTCCCACTTACCGCTAAGCCAAGCCATACATATATATATATATATATTACTCAAGATTCATATACATTATTCAATAGCTTATCCCAAGTGCCACTCACGTGTCGACCAGCTTGCGGCCCTCGAAAAACCGACGACCTGCTGCGATGAGCAGTCCCACCGCCAGTTCGGCCACAGCTTTGTTCCTTACATTGCCCGCGTGGCCCAGCGGTATTTTGCGGCGCATCACCTCTTTTAGATCAACAAATTCGGTGCCAGGGGTCATGGTTGAGATGGCCTTTAGCTGGGGTCCTGCTGCATCGAGAACCGGGGCATTGAGGGTCTGATTTACGGCCCACAGGACGCCATGGACTCCGCGGATCTTCACCATGATATCAGCAAGTGTGGGCGGCACAGCCACACGCACCAAGTCATATTCCTCCTCCAATAGGTCAATGGCCGCGTCGGGCACCTCCGGGCTCGTGATCAATACTTTGAATGGCCCGCTGCAGCTGCTCCTATCCAGGCCTCCACGAAAGCAAGCATCACATGGTGTTAGCAACAGAGCAACAAGAAGCGCCAGCAAGGGTAGAACTATAAATATCGAGGACATACTGCTCAGAACGAGGTCCAAAAAGCAACTAAGCTGATCCGCTTGTCCACACCGACTTAAGTAGCGGAAGCCTTTGGAGAGCAGCGCAGCCCCCTGAAAACCGCCTTTGGATATATCTGTGTGTGTGTGTGTGTGTGTATGTGCTCTTTAGAAAGGGTGTGAGAGAGGGAGGGAGGGAGAGAGGGAGATTGATGGAGGGGGGAGACGGAGAGAGATCGGAGAGCAGAAAATCGGACAATTTGAAATGCCGAGCAACAGGAATTCGTCACAGGTGAAGGAAATTATTTCGAGCTCGAATAAACGGCTTATAGATGAAGGAACTATAAAAGTAAGTCCCGAATGATTTAAGTGAGATAGAATTTTAAATAAGAGTGTCATTACTGCTTATCATTAAAAAATAGGAGCTTTGATTCACTTAAATCTGATAACAAATAAGAAACTTCATATAAAACTATCAATTTTATACTTTTACCAATTGTTTCATTTTCAATTGATTTTTTATTTGCAAAAAAAAAAAAATAAAATAATTAATTTCGTAACATTGAAACATTCCATAAGAAACGGCTCGATTGGCATTGCGAAATCACCCAGAGAGGCTAAGAAATGTTAGTCTTTACCAGACAAAGACGCATATCAACAGGCGACTCAAACCTCTGTCGCATCATTATTATTTTATTATAACACTAATGCTTGGTGGAATGAAGTTAGGCGGTTCTGCTATATAGTTTTATATAAATGAAACATACCTATGTTGTTTATTGTAGAAATCATTGTAAAAATAATAAAAGCATAAATTAAAGTATAAATTAAACATATATTCCATATATATGATACATTTATAATCTTTTTACATTCAATTGTATTTGTTAGCTTACTATTTTGATTTTATTATTATTTGTATCTAATTGAATATTTGTCATGCAAAAGAACAAACAAAATCAAATTATTATCGGTCTCTCTCTATATTTGTAGTGAATCGTTATAGCAATTGAAGTTCTTACTATCATATCCGCGATCGGCTCTGTGGCACTTCAATTCACTCCAGCCCTTCTCCAGTCTTTCACTTTTGTTTGTTGCTCTTTTGCTTTTCTTATCGGTATGGGCAGACAGCTTTCTGTCTCTTTCGCTCTGTGTGAGATTGAGCGAACTCTTTAGCTGGCCAGCTGCTGGAACGAGCTGCGCGCCTGCTCAAAATACCAGTTGGGGATTTTTCCCATGTCACTTGTGGGGCTCGCATGCTAGCCAATTTCCAATTGGAATGGGACCACTATCCCCAGCTTTTAGTGGAGTCGACTCGAATCGCATCGCGTCGCGTCGCTATTGGAACGCCAGGTTGTGGAACCTACTCATACATGCCACCACCACAACCACCAGCACCGCATGCACATAGCTTATTTTGTGAGCGGATCTGCTCAAATTTTGTCCGCATCGAAGCAGGCGCACAGAGCTGCATAGCTGCTCTCCAACACGCGCGCCGCACTCTCCAAACCCATCGCTCTGTGTGAAAGCAGATGGCGTTGGCGTTGGCGTTGGCGTTGCCGCTGACTTTTTCCCTGCCTTCGCCGCTGCCAGCGTTGGCGTTGGCGTCGGTGGTTGTCGTCGTTTTTGCAGTGTTTCTTCGGCGTTTCTGCAGGGCTCTGCCCAAGTGCATGTACCTATACCCTGCACAGCTTACATGGAATAGGGTAGTCAATTCAACCCAATAAAAATAAATTTAGAATTTATCTCATGTTGATGAAGAAAGCGTAAAACTTATTTAATATGATAAGATAAATTATTAAAATTCGAAAATACATTTTTGATGAATATATTCTTATTTGAATTATAAAAGAAAATAATAATAAATATGTATATACATATATATTGAATAAATTAGTTTCAACAACTAAAGGTAGCATAATACTGGCTTTTTTTTAAATACATACATATGTACATATTTATAATTTTAACAAAATAGGACCCAAATCAGGTCATTCGAGAATAATTTCTTATTTTAAATGAAATAAAATAAAATTTGTTCAATTATACTTTTAGGCGGGGGAAAATATATACCTAAGCAAACACACATTTATAGTGGGTATCTAAAAGTCATTCAACTAGTTGGTCTTTCTGTGCTGCAATTAAATTTTTACGCACATAGATATAGACTGTGCAAAGCGGGAGACTGAGAAGTTCGCTCTGCGCTTTGGAGAGTTTCCAGACGCGACTGCACTTTGCCTAATTGCGCAAAGGTTATTGGCCCAGAGTTCCCAGAGTTCCCAGAGTTTGGCCCCAAAGTGCGAGGGTGGCTCAATGTGGGCGCCAAACGTTGTCTCGCGCACAATTTTTGTTTGGCTGCGTCGCGTCACTGCTTGTTGCTTGCTGCTTGCTGCTCGCTGCTGCTGTCGCTGTCGCTGTCGCTGTGTGCGCTTTGTTCTTTTGTTTTGTGGTGATTTTCTTTTGTTGCGGCAGCGACTCTCGCTCCAGCTCCGTTTGCGTCTGCTGGCTTTTATGCTTTCCTGTTACCAAAACACGATGCGTCATTTTGACTGACGTAACCGGGAGACAGCTGTCTATCAGATGCGACCGTCGTGCCGTCGACGACGCTGGTGACGCTGTTTGTCGTTTACCGTTACGCCCGCTGCCGATGGCAATGCCAGCGCTCTCTGCGGTTTGGCGAACAAGTGCACAGCAATCAAAAGATAGCAAAAGCCAGTCGACATAAAAGATGAGCAATGCACACAAATACCGACACACGCTCTCACACACATATACATACGCGTTCAGTTATACGTGCCATCGTAAAGTTACAGTTGTAGACGACGGCAAAAAGCTCGCCGAATAAGTGACATGACAGCCCCTTCACCCATTGGCGTCCTCCACCCATGCCAATTGTTTGATCACGCCGCTGCTTAACTAACGGCACTTCACAAGGACGGTGGGCATCCCACCGTAGGTGCGACAGCATCCAGCAGCAGTCGCATTCTGTGTGCTTCATAACCAGCTACAGCGCAATCAAAATCAAAAATGGTGGCCACGCTGCAAGCTACAAAGCTGCAAAAGCAGCGCCCAACGAATCGAATTTGCCTTGCGCAGGCGCCGAAAGACGAAGCGGCGCCTACAGTCTCAAATGGGCCACTGTCAAGCGCCGAAGAAGCAAAAAAATAAAAATAATAATCAAATACTAACAGCAAAAAATACAGTCGATTTTTGTGTATGTTGCGAAAGGTCGGACGCCTAAACACAGCACGAAAAAAATGTGACGCGCAGCATTGAGGCAGGTCCCTCTACGCGATACGAGTGAACAGGCGCGCACGCAGCAGCAGCAAGCGACGATGCGATGTTCGGCCTGTTGCCAGCTGAGCGCAAGCTAAAGCTATTTCGTGTGCGTTTGTGTGTTTGTGTGCGAGTGAGCGGAGACGTTGCCAACTCAAGCGGGCGCCTACGTCACAGCAGCACATGAGCAGAGAACAGCTAACGCAGCGCGCGAGCAAGAGTGTGAGACCGTGGGAGAGAGAGGGAGTGCGCGCACGTTTATTTGTATTTGCTTGCTGAGAGCGCGCGTGGGAGTACGGCGATGTTTTAATTGAGTGTGAGTGACTGTATATATGCGTGTATGTGTGAGTACATGCTTATGTGCACTTTGTTTGCCTTTGCTGAAACTGTGCTTAAATTACCGTTGCATGTTGTTAACATTAACTGACAACGGGCACAAGTCGTAATTTACATGTCTCTCCAATTGTGCTGTTAGCTTTTGTTGAGTGAGAACGAGCGAGAGTGGGATAGAGAGAGCGCAACAAAATGCTATCGGAGTAGGACACACACGCTATATTTGTAGAATTAAGCACAGGGTGTTGGTTGTACGTTGTTGTAAATACATTTAGAGTCAACTCTAACAGTTAGTTGCAGTGCAATTAATTTATTCACAAACAATTTAAGCCGCATTGCTGCAGTGAAGCTGTAGCCATGTCAATTTCTAATCTGATACACATTCGCGCCGATTGCCGATGTTGGCGCAGTTGGTCCGCTAGCTTCCGGTCCAGGTGGTGTCCCACCTGGAATACCTGTCGCACTAGCCGCGACGGCCACAACGCGATAAGGATAGGCACGTGATCGATCCACTGGCTGCGATTGGCGCGGTGACATATCCTCCATCCTCTCCGGATGGGCGACGAGCATGGGCTCGAAGAGATGATGGAAAAGATTATACGACTGCCCGCTAACATTCCTATTTGGCGTGGCGGGTCGTTCCGGCGGCAAAGGCTGGGGCTGCACAGGTTTTATAGGATTTATAGGATTCCTATATATATGTAGGTTCATATACTTCAAAGAGTTGTTACCTGCAACAGCGTAGTGTACATCTGATCAGCATAGTTGAGCAACAGCCGAAGGCCCTGGAAGCCCTCCTCCCGCTCGGGATGCTGGCGCAGCTCTTGGGCAGCCGCATTAGTCATTCGTGTCAGGATCTGGACCACCGTCGAGAGGCTGCTAACCAGACGCATCACATCGTTGTTCACATCCACTGCCTGTGGGAGCATAAACCACTCGGGCGCGTGCCCGCCGATGCTGGTGTTGCTGCTGCTGCCGGCACCACCGACACCACTAGCACCACCACTAACAGCACCACCCACACCCCCACCACCACCACTAGCATTATTATTATTATTATGACTGAGACCAATACCGTTACTCATACTGATGCTGTTAGAGCTGCTGGTGGTGCTAGTCGTTGAGAGGCGCATTTGTCGTGGCTCCACAATAACAATGGCTGTGTGGGGCGCCTAACGGCAATTAGGCTAGCCAACATCTTAAAACTCGAACTCTAACTGAAGTTACCTGCCCATTATCGTCATCATCGACAGCATCCCCGCAATCCGCCACAGACCAGTCGCCAATCGATTTGGGTGCCAACAATTCGGCACCGCTGCCCTGCTTGCCGCACCACATAAATGGAGTTTGTTTTTCAAATACTTTAGATTTTAAACACGGTCTATACATCGTACGTTTGTCAACGAACTAACATGGAATACCCAAACCCAAGCAACTTGTACGCAAGGCCCGCTGCGATGGAGAATGTTTTAGTGATCGAATTATCAGATTCCCATTTGATACAAAAAAAAATAAATAAATAAATAAATAAAATAAAAAGCATTTGATATCTGGTTTCATTTATATCTATAATATCTTAAATAATCCAATGAACTATTTTCAAGACTCCAGCTCTTATAGTTTATCTCTAAGCAAATTTTTCATATACATATGTATGTATACACGTATGATGCATATATATGTAGATAGGTAAATAGTTGGATATAATGAATCATTCAACCATATAAATAGATGCACAAATTGATAGCTATATAGAAATATAGATATTGAGGTAGATATCTCCATATCTCCACCAGATAGATGGATAAAGAGGTAGATATATTTCTATATATCTGCCAGATAAATTAAAAGATCAACGGACAGCTAATTATCTGTATGAATAAATAAATATATATTGAGAAATTATAGATTGATATTACATAATTCTAAATTAGATCAGATATATTCCGAGCTCCTAGGAGCTCCCTGCCAGCAAGTGATTTATATCTTTCTATAACTTGCAAAGAAAGCTTCCAGTCGTCTTTAGTTAGATCCAAGCTCATATACACTTAGTCAACTATTCTTAAAACATCATTATATACACCCAGGAACACAAAATACATTTCAAACTACTCCAACTTAAGAAAAATAGAAAAAAAAATCCGTATTTGTTACGCTTTTAGTACAAGTACAAGGAAGCACAATGTTGAACCGTAGGAAATTAATCCGTGAATATGAGCAGAAGCGATTGGAAATGCTAAAAAAGCTCCAGGATGAATATCCACTGCCAGAGGCTCCACCCGATCAATGCCGAGATTCGTTCCTTAAGAAACTGTTTGCGCCCTATGATGTGCCGCTGCCATCATTGGGAATCCCGTCGGAGGGCGACTTTTTCATTCCTAAAAGGCAGTACAGTCGCTTAGGGTTCGGCTCATTTCCATTCAATGCGGAGGAGAAACTATTGAGCGACTATCATAAGTACGCTAGGGTGACGGCCTACCCTATCAAAAAGCCGATCAAACCACTGATAGAGGAGCGACTCAGTGTGCTGGACATCAATAAGTTGTTGAGGCTACGTTATGGCAGTATAGCCAAAGCGATTGGCTGTTTTGCCGTGCTCTGTCTGCTGACGGACGTCAGGTATCGGATGAGTGTGGTGCGGGATATGTGGCGCCACGAAACGAATGTGGATCGGAATCTTCGGATGTTCAGCTGGTCGATTGAGGACTACCTCAGGCGCTTTAATCGACGCAACGAGAACTACTTGGATAATGTTGAGCTGGAGTTGAAGGGTCAAATGGACTGCTTCAAATTTCGCGTGGATCTAAAGGAAATCATACGACTTGTCGATGCACTCTACGATGATTTCAGGATCAAGGGTGACATCTGCAATAACTCGCTGTATCTCATAAGGTAAACGCACACTCTAAACAGTTGGTTATATAAAACTTAATGAGCCGAGTACTACAGAGATGCCCAGGTGGATATTATGGAGCTGGTGACAACCACTCGGAAGGAGGAGGAGGATCGGCAAGCTCAGCTAGCTGAGGCAATGCAGAAAACACCGCGTACAGCCGATCCAGGCGGCTACAGACACAAGGAACTGAATAAAAGAATCAACCACATGGATTGTAAGATTGTGTTACTCCACAATGAGCCGATCATTCTTCCACATATACGTAATCAATTTTCAATATTATTTCAGTTATGGTGCCTATTGAGGCGCGATATCGCATCAATTGGGCCCAAACAACAATGGAACAGTCCCTCATGAGTGACGAACTTGACATTAAGGTAGAGCTGCGTATTAGTTTCGAGTATCTGATAAGTAACTTCCATTGCAGGCCATAGAGGACGAGGTTAACTTTTACAAGGATCGTGCCAAGGAATTCACCCACTTTAGGGAGCTCTGTTATCTGGCCTACGACTTGGAGCTATCGGATTATAAGCGGCGTATTAGCGAAACGGAATCGGCATATGAGACAAGTATGGAGCTAGTCGACAACGAGATCAAAGTAACACGCAACAAGCTATCAAAGGCCGTAGACGATCTAAAATTCTACCGAGAACAGATACCAATGTTTCATCGAAAAATTGCTGAGGTTCAGGAGATATTTGCCCAACGGGAGGAAGCAAATAAGCCACCGGTAAGCGCTGGAAATCTAATTTATAAGCAGCATATGCTAATCTTGTATATATATTATTTTTTAGGTGGTAGAGGAACCCGTTGCTCCTCCGCCGAAAGGTAAGGGAGGCAAAAAGGGAAAGAAATAGAGAAAACAAAACAATAAAGAAGATTTTTCTTAACGTTTAGCTACAATAAAATTTATTAATACCAGAAAACTAAATTTGTGTATATAGATATATTATTTATATATATATATGTATATATATATTTATATGTTGTATACATAGCATTTATTTATTTATTTTTTTCTTTTTTAGATTTTTTCTGCAACTGCAACAAGTAGTCGCTTGACATAAAATAGTTCATATACATATACACACTATATAAGTTTGTTTCTCTTTTGTTTTAACTCTCGAATCATTCGGTTGGCTTAGATGCTAGACTCTATCTTCGACTGCCCCTGTTTTATCATATATCGCAAACCTATGACTATATCTATACGTACATTCATTCAGCCAATTTGTTGGGGTTTGTTGTTTGGAAGAAGAATCGTTTTTTTTTTGTTAATAAACTAAAACTTTATACACTGTTTTGTTTCGTTTTTCTTATACACAAAGCAGAAATCATAATTTTAACTTAAGCGTAAACGTAATCATAATAAACTATCGTCATTCAACATACAACAGAAGAAGCACTAGACATTATAATCTTACGGCTTACGCAATATCCATTAATAATATCAATATTAATGAAAAAACCTAAATTTAAGTTCTTCGAGATATAAACAAAGTATAAAGACTAATACTAATTAGATTGGTTAACACACACATAAAACGTTGAGTTAATTAAACAGAAATTTGGTTGGCTCACAACTAAAATTAGCTCTTCAAAAGATTATAGAATTTTCTCATATATTTTAATTTTTTGTTGTTTGTTTTTCTTGTTTTTTTTTTTTTTTTTTTTTTTTTTTTTTTAATTGGGCGCATGCGCCGTACGCAGCTTGGCGCGCACATTTAAATACTCGGGATTGACATATTGACGCTCATCATCGTCCTCGGCATCCTGTTTCTGTGCCGCTGCCCCATGCTTCTGGGCCCGCTCCATGATCACACGCCCCAGCTCCCCCTTCACTCCAGCCAGCTCCGCTTCAGGTGAATGCTGCTCGATGGCCGCTGCATGCCGTTCCTTTTGCTTCTCATAGGCACGCTGAAGTTCACTCTTCTGATTGAGCACACTCTTACCACTGCCAGAGGGAAAGAGAGAGAGAGTGATAGTCAATCAATCAATTAATCAATTTAATTTAATTTTTCATTTCGTACTCACATGCGTGCATTGAACTTGAGCTCCCGATGCAGCTCCTTCCGATCGGTGTTCTCTATGCAGGGATTGATCAGCTTCTTTGGCAATATGAGGCCTTCAGCATCCGTTTGGACGCCCGTGGGCGTCGCTGGCGGCGAGGTGGACATGGACATCATTGTGTCTATCGAGTGCTCGGCCAAACTATGCCTACGCGTCGCTGTATCTGCATAAAGATAAAGAGAATGCCGATCAATATTACGGACGAATGAGACTGCCATCTTCAACTTTCTATAGGCATTAAATAAAACTGGCATCAGAATCGTTGTCAGTTACTAAGTTTAATTGGCACTTGGCCTTCGTTCCATAAATCAAACAATGCCCAACAGCAGCAGCAGCAGCAACAACAACAACAACAGCAACAAGAAAGATATATGAGCCAGTCACAACAAAAGAGCGGTCGATGTCTTCTCGAGTCGCGTTCGTTTATTAAGGTTAAATATTTCTTTACATTCATGTCATTGTCAATTTGTTGTTACACACTAAAGAAAAAAAGCAGAAGAAGCAGCAGAAAACTGCCTATCTGTTACAAAAAAGCACCAGCGGCAGCAATAACAACAACAAGAACAACCGCTTTAAGCCAAAGGCAAAGCCAACCCAGACACAGACGAGTCAATTCTGAAATTCTTTGCAGCGCTTTGTTCGCCCCTTCACCATAATAACCCACATTTGGGCGCACATTTCTGGAGCAGCAAAAAAATAAAAAAAAAACCCCAAAGATATAAAAAATAAAAAACTAGTAGAAAAGAAAAACTTTGGTTTAGAACCAAAACTAGATTAATAGGTGTTGATAAGAAACTGAAAGAAATGCCGTTGAGTCGACGCAAACGCGCTTTGTGAAAGTCGTTAAAATTTATGTTCTCAAAAAAAAATCGACTTAAAAGCGTGAAATCAATTCGGAAACTATTTTGAATCATAATGCACATTTGGCATATGAGCAAATTTTTATGCCCGCCAAAATTATGCAAATGTGCAAAAAGGAAATGAATGGGGAGGCAAATGAATATATGTATATGTCTATATACATTTATATTACCATGCCATGCCAGAGACCATGCCATACCATAAATATAAATATATAACAGCTAGCAGAGTGTTGCATACCAAATTTAATGACTTCGGGCCATTAAATGTGTCTTCGAGTTCACCGAGGCATTTGGCATCGGAACAACGTAATTATACGGCGGAGACTGCATAACATCATTTGGTTTTTAATGGTTAAGTTGACCCAATGTTGAAAAATGCAAATAAATATACATATAATAGATATATTTATATATTACTTAATTATGAGAAGTTATTTCTTTTTTCTTTGTGAAAGCATTAGTTATCTTAGCTTTCGACCCACATTTCATAGAAAGTTATTAAAGACTATTAAGAATTCTCATAGCATATATTATTTAATAGATATGAAATAATGGGTATAAGTTATAAAGGTCTATAAAGATAACTTATGTACCAAGAAATAAACAACGAAAATTCTATTTCCTACTCTTACGATTGACTTGTCATATAAGCTCCCATGCCAAATCGTTCTTATCTCAATGCGGAAGTGGAGCATATAAGATTTAATTTTGAAAGAAAAATGAAATAAAAACTAAGAACTATTGAAAAAGTCATTCAGAATTATCTATTGTCTATATATAAAGCCTATACTCTCTAAGTAATTTTTATTCATTTGGAATTAGGACTTTCTACATATAATCAACTCCCCTTAAGCCGAATAATAGATTACAAATTCAATTTTGAGCTTCTACCTTCTATAGTTACCCAGTTCTACAAGACTCATAGACCTATCCCAAAGTCCACTCCATTTAGCTTAACGTCAGTGCAAAACAAAAGACATTTTGCATTGATTGCCGAGCTGCAAACGAACCTTTTTAGGGTCTCTGATCGTTAACCCATATGCATATTACTGCAAGCGTAAAGTTTTCAATTATGCTACGTGTCGCTCTCTTGATATGATATATGACCCGGGCCTAACTGTACTAAAGTGTCATGCCTAGTTTAACTTGAAACAGGCTTAGTTCTATTAACTTTCTTGCATTGCGGGTCATATGAAGTAAAGCTCGAATTTTCCATTGCCCCAAACTTGTTTTACGACGAGCAAACTGGATGAATATGGGATAGTGACTTTGTGATACCCTTTATTAAAAATTGTTGTTAATTTAGTATGTTTAATTAGTAATTTGTTGATTTTCAACGTAATTTAAGGTTAAATATATATATTTGAGTTGAGGACTTCCACAAAAATTTTGACTCGCAATTCTAAGATATACATATATTCGAAAAAACGATATGGGTGACAGGAAGAATTTAACAAACGATTATATAGACTAGTTGATCGTAGAGATGTTTAAATAAAAGTAAAACAGAAGCGGATAGAGCAATAAATTTCATAGCTTTTTTTCTGATGGAATATATTAAGTTAATAGATTAAATTAAATGAATGAATGGATGCACGGATAAAAAGTCAAATACAAGAATATATAGATGGATAGATTTATTCATTTATGCATAGGCCGATAAAATGGAAAGCCTATATAAAAGAAATTCTAACCAAACAAAGGAGAGCCTAAATGCTAATGATGCTGATAAAAAATATGCATAAATTAGATGTTAATATACCCCGCTCATCAATCTTCAGCGCGTGCAGGGTATTAAAACTTTCATTCCAGACAGCTAAAAGTAATGTCTCTTGCTTGACAAAATTACAAGCTTTCATATGTAAAATTAAATATACCAAGACACATACGTTCACTTACCCATACACACTCACACACACACACACACACAGAGACAGCCGCACAACAAGAAGCCAATTGTTGGCTGCATTTGTCTGGTTGATTGTGGGTCGAATCGGACATGGAGGAACTCGATGAAAACAAATTGCATATAATTAGTTTCTCCATGGGCTCGGCGGGCCCTTATAAAGGCTGTTGACTGTTATTTCATTTGACTTAATTTCCCACCAACACACGCACAACTCATTAGTCTCACAGTTCTGTGTGGATTGGAATAGGGAATGGGATTGGGGTTGGGGTTGGGGTTTGGTGTTGGGGTTGTCGCTGTTGCTTTTGCCTTACTCAGCCAATTGCGCAAGTGAAAACTTGTTAAACTGCAGCGCGTAATCGTAATCGCAATCGTAATCGTAATCGTTCGAGTCGTCCATGTCTGCATGCCCAACTATGGCACAGTGGAAATCATTTATGGCGTCTGCCGCTGCATTGCAGCTGCTGCAAAGTGGGCCCTCGACATGTCGAACACACTCGTCTATTGTTCAATGCAAATGAAAATGCAAATCAATCAATCAATCAAGATTTGCATACAATTTCCGATTGGCCAACAGCGTCATATGTTAAAATCATTTTCATAACTCTGCAGTTGCCAGCGCAAAAGGTTAAAGGTTGCTGCGACCCATTCACGGCCATTGAAACGAGCTGAAAAAATGTAAGCCCATTGTTAAATGACTGCCAATTTGTTGTAATTGTGCGCTGCGACTCATCACAAATGATTTTTTGATTGATGGTCCACAGAAATTGATGTCAACTCGAACAATGCGCCGCACAATTGGCTCCACTCTAGCTGCAGCGCGGCCCTCCGTAGATGACTTCGCTCTAGCTTTTCGGGCTAATAAAGTTGTTACTCAATTAGATGAAAAAAAAAATAAAAAAAATAAAAAACAGAAATAGTTGACTGAGAAAATTAAAAACTTATACATTTTGTAACTTTATAATAAAAAATAAAATATATAAAACTGAAAGAAATCTATTTATCCCGGCGTCTATCCTTCCATGCGAATTAGGCGCTTTAATAGTGCATAATCGTAATTTCCCTAGCTTAGGCAATCTCTAAGACCATCTCTGATCTCTTGTACAATGTGCTCTTCCGATATTTTTATTAATATTCATTAAATATATATAATATAATATTCATTAAACTTAAGCTTCACTAAGCTGAAGTGAGCAAGATAAGCACTTAAATTAAACTAGACGCAGCGCTCCTTTTTTTCGGACAAGTCCGACAAACAAATACCCTGTACTTAGCCCGCTCTGGCTGCTGTTTGAAATATTTATTTCGCACTCATAAACAAAGTATTTCAATATAGATATTTTCGTTGGCAGTTTAACATTAACATATTCACAATTTTCGAGGGCAAAAAGGTGTTTCCAAAAATTTGAACTTCAATGCGTTTTCAAATAAAATTTACATAATTGAACATGTAAATTGAATTTGAATAGGAATTAATTAAGATTAATGATAGTGGCTGGCACCGTATTCAATTGTTTGAAGTGGACAAACATTAAAATGTTGCAATGTAAAGAGATGTGTACTACAGTGAGATTATTTGATTTAAACGAAATTTATGAAGGAAGCACCAACTATATTCCTAAAAGAATAAATATAATAATAATAATATAATAAAGCTTCCATTATATAGGCAGAGGAAGTATATAAATAGTAGACAAAATATATGAAATATAAAAATTTATATAGAAATTAAATATAGAAATGTATAAAACCAGAATATACACATTAAATATATTAATATGTATACAACACATATATAAATAAATATAAATAAATAGATTTATATAAAATAAATATATGTCTTTCAATTGAAATTCTCAGATCACATCAATCGAAGCGCTTTTGCAGCTGCCTGCTGCTTCGGCCACACTCTTCACACAGTCTCATGATTCAGTGAACATTTTGATCAAACGCCAACTGAATACTTAATTTTTAATTGCAGTTGATATCTGCTTAGTTGATCTTATAAAATGTGTGAAGTTTTCTCTCGCACAAAATACAAAGCTTATGGCCAAATATCTTACGAATTCATCGGCCACGCGCTTCGAAAAGGCATTTGCAAGAAACATCCGAAACAAACAGATTTCACCAGCATATATAGCTATTATATATTGTATACCGTTTTTGTTGCTGCTGCTATCAGAAGATTTGACATTTCAGTTCAGCTTTAACTCACTTTCAAAGATGGACATGCGGCTCATGATGCTCGTCGAGATGTGCGGCGTCGGACGTTGCATATTGTTGATTTTTTGTTATTTTATACACAATTGTTTATATGAATGTTAATACACAAAGTACACAAAATGGAAAAGAGTTAACACTTAAATTTGGCTATATGTATATAGAAATATATTTGAGAACAACAAAATTATAAATACACACAATAAAATTTGTATAAATTTCAAAAGTTATGCAAAATAAAACTCACACAACAACAAAAAAAAAAAAAGTACAAATAAAAAAAAAATAAATAAAAAACACCTACACCCACAGGCAATAAATACAAATGTAACTAAGTTACTTTAGTTGTTCTTTGCAACAACTCGTGTAGAACTGAAGATTTTGTTGTTGTTCTAATTGTTGGCGTTGAGATTAAAACACAGTTGGCACTTGCATTTTCACTTGCCCCATGGGTTGATTGGCTTTCGCTTTCGCGTTGGCTTTTGCTTTTGCTGTTAGTTTTTCTGTTCGCTTTCAGCTGCTGTTCTTATCAATGCGACTTATGGCTTCAAACTGGCCCGGCCAGCTAGCCGGACTCGGACGCGGACTTGACGTGGCAAGCGACTGCAATCGATTACCAGCAGCAGAGGCAGCTACGGCTGCTTCAACTAACGTAATGCGGCTGCGTTTTTGCTATTTTAGGCTTCCTCATTTTGTTGCAACATCAGAGAAAACGAGAGCAAGATAGCGCTGCTCACAGAGAGACAGACACAGCGGAAGACAGAGTGAGATGGAGAGAAACACCTTAAATGGGTGGCAGAGCTTATGCAATGGTGCGCCAATGGGGCGACAAGTGACCCAAATTTGCGTTGTACGAACAACTGCCACACACACATACACACACACACACACACATACATACCAGGGGCAACATGCAAAAACGCATCCATTGTTTCATCCTGGCTGCATGCTACGAAAGTGAAAGCTTTTCTGCTCTCGCCACCCACCGCCGCCCACCCAAAAGCGGAAACACACAATGCCAACAGCAACCCTTTGCAACAAAAAGCCGAACATCAAATTAAGAGAAATGCAGCAACACATGAACTGCCTGTAGCGTACACTGAACGAATTTCCTAGCAATTTGCAGTTAATATTTTTTACATTATTGATTACTATATCAATGTGAATATGTATAAAAATCCCTATATTTCAATTCTTTTAATTTTTAATATTATTATTTCATTAATTTTAACTATTTTATTTTATTTCATTTTACATAAAAAATTAAAAATCAATTAAAGTAAATTTATTGTTAATCGTTTTTACACTTTGTAAACCGACTCAGCTATAAATCTATATAAGCATGAGCTGAACCTCAAGCATTCGGAACTTTAAATATATTAAAAGTAAACTCAAAATAAATTTTTAAAATGTATAAAATTATTAATAAAATATATAAAATATTATAGGTTAGTTTGGTTTCATCATTATAGATTTCTTAAAAGATTAATCAAATATATAGAGCTAAATGAAATATTTATAAACAAGTAAGCGTGCTCTCCTTAGATATTGGCTATTCAGTTTAGCGCCCCATGGGTGCTGCCACGCCTCCTTCTGCCTGTCACATACATGTTCACAAAACCATTGTTCCCGCAATTGTCATTTTCATGGCACATCATACATGCATACATATGAATGTATATGTATACAACCTACAACTCAGTTTCATTAGCCTTGATCGAGCCATTTCTCAGCCTCTCCTCTGTTTCTTTTTTTTTTGAGTGCACACGAGGAGTCTGCAAAGTCGGTCCGTGTGGCGCGCCACGCGCATGCATTGTGTTCGCCTTGACCTGTGAAAATGCTGTATTCGTGGATACGTGGACAAGGCCAAAGCTCGACGGAAGCTGCGTGTGCGATTGGCTCTCTGGATGCCAGCTGAGTGTGAGTGTGTAGGTGTATAGGTGTGCGTGTGTGTATCTCTTTCAGGGGCAAACGTAGGAGCAGCCAGCAGCAACTTGAAACACCCCCGCACGAATTGGCAGGCTCTCTGTCTGCTCGTCTGTTCGCCTGGTGCTAATTGGCTCCATGGAGAAAATGGCCGCTACACGAACAACGGAAAACATACGCACACGAATGCAAACAAAAAAAATCAAATAAATTAGCAACAACAGCAACCGGGGCAAGATGCAGCGTCTAAGACATTCAACTTCTTGTCTTGACTCCAGAGCAACGTACGCTTCGCCTCCGCCTCCATCTTCGCCTCTGAGCCAAAAACTGCCAACATTTCTCCAGGCGGAAAATTGGAGTTTGAGTTGCTGCAGCAACAGCAAAAGCAGCAGCCGGAGCTGGAGCTGTTTTCGGGTTTTGCAACTGGCGTTGATTTTTGGGGGGCAGAGCGAAGCGCGCCATTCAAAAACTCTAACTCAAATACTCCGCCTCAAAACAGCAGGCGTTCAGCAATCGGGCGCAAGTGGACGACGCGCAGGAGCAACAGGAGCCGCAAATCGAAAACAGGAGCAGTGACGTCGCCAGCACACGAGCCCGAGCAGGAGCCGCAAGCGAAAAGCTTTTTTGGAAGCTTTTGCCTAAACTTTCGCAGCAATCCAACTCTCCTTACTCGAGCGTAGGGGTCGCTCACGTCCTTTAACGTCACGAATCGAACACTGTTGCCATGGCCGCATGCTCCATGCCAGCCCCACCGTTCAGGACTTGGCGAAAAACATCAATAAATAGATTTCCCTGATTTTTCAACAGGATAGCAGCAAACGGCAACAACGACCGCACAATATGTGCCAAGCCAAGTCACAGGCGCGTTTTGTTTTGTTGCTGTTGCTGTGTGTCCCCCAAATGCGCCAGCCAGAGGTGACAGCCCCAGCTCTCTATTAGCCACCTATCAGCTGCGAGCGACTGGGGGCGGCGTCGCCCGCATCGTAGTTATGCCTAGCTCAAAGTTGAACGGGGTGCGTTACACTTGAATATACTTTATATACATATACATATATATTTATGTATAAATCTTTATATATACATTGCGTTGGTGTGCCTGCAAATATTTGCGCCTGTTGAAAGACATTTCGTGCGCCTTCAATCTGTTCAATTAACATTTTTTCATAAATATATATTTTATATACATACATACATTTACATATTTTTGGTTCAAGGCGAGTTTTGTTTAATCAAAATTTGCATAAAAATTTCTGTTGATTTTCGTAAGCTCTGTTAATGTTTGCACATTCTTAACATATTTTTAGCACAGTGATTATTGCCTAATGCAAATGCGAAACGCCTGGCAGTGGCAAAGTATAAGATAAATATATGTGAGTATCAACTCAAATTGTATTGTATATATTGAATTATTTTAACGATTCTGCGCTTTTTACTATCTCTGTCAAACATAGATTGAAAGGTATGCAAGCTATGCTTTATTTATACAGTGAAAAGTTGCTGAAGATTCGTACCATATGTCTATAATCGTAGATCATTTTGTATTTTTTCTACAATAAATACAATAAAAAAAATTTCATAAATAAGCAAAATATTTCAATAAAGATATGTAAGGTATTTTATGGCTTTCAAAAAGAATTTTAAAGCTTTCAATTGAACTGGAAATAATAAGTAAACAATTTCATAAATATTTTTAATGATAGTAAAACAATTTGATAAACAAACGTTAATATATGAATTTAAATAAATATTAACATAATAATATATTTAAATTCATATATCAACGTTTGTTTATCAAATTGTTTTACCAGCATTTTTAAATATTTTTTATGTATTTATTATTAATGAGTCAATTTAGAGAAATATAAACATTATTGAAACATGTTTGTAAGAAAAATTCGTTTTTATATTATACATTTATAATAAAACTTTTAATCATTGCACAACAAATATTTGTATTTATGCAACAATATTAAACAATGAGCTGTAGAGGACATACTTAAAACATATAAGCATAAATACTGCATTTTATATACAATTATATACAAGTGTAATTAAAACTGTAAAAAAATTAAAGATAAGTAACTCGCACAGGCTGTAAAACGCAATCTCTAGACCGTAATTTCCATACTTATTTTCACACTTTCGTCGCACGATTTGCCAGTTATTATAGTTCGTATGGTTTTTTATATATCTTTCTTGAAGTACGGCCAGACTCATCCTCGGACAGGCAGTCATTGTGGGCGCGTGTTAGTCATTGCCATTTAGTGGTATTTACTATTTGTATTTGTGTTTGTATTTTGTTATTGGCTTGTTTGTCTGCTTGACATTAAACGGGCCGAGCCGACACACGCCACACGACACACGCGACTTTTCAAAGACCTCGACCCCAAGAGACCCGCCCACAAAAAACACTAGAAATACACCCAAGCACACACACAGGCATAGATATACACACATACCAATTCATAGATGTTACCCTTGCCAAGCATATCTTAGTTGCATTGCCTAATATGTAACACTTCTAAAGGAAGTCTTTATAGACAATCAAATTTTAATATGTCAAATAATCGTATGTCAAATAATCTTGAAGATATATGTTCTGCCACCTTTTATTCTACCTAATATAAATTATAAATAGCATTTAATTAAATATTTTTGTTATTTATATATTTTTATGTAGGTCTATAGAAGATAACAAACCAATGATAATTATATTCAGGGCGTATCTAATAAAACTAAAAGATTAATAATAATGGAATATTTGATGCAATTTAATGTAAACTCCTTAAACTATTATAAGTTTATTATAAATGTTTATATAATATTCTAATTATAAAATACATTTCCGTTTCTCTGCTTGGTTAGCTTTCGTTTTTAGCAAAATTTAAATACAAAATAGACAGACAAATAGCTATAAAAAAAATAGTATGAAATCATTTGAACATCTGGCGCAAGTTTTCTCTATAGCTTATCTACATATAAGTCAATTATATGGAACGTGATTCATATTATACAATTTCTATAAGTCATTCATCTCTATATTGTGCACGAAAAAAGGAAAGAAAATCTGTTGTTTTGTCACAAGTAGAAAAAAGGCTATAAATAAATATTGTTTTAAAATAATCAAATCGAGTTTGTTAACAACTGTTAAACAAATCCATTGTTACAGAATTCAAAAAGAATTTCTGTTTACCTGGCTGGCTGTCTTTTATTGCCGCATTTAAAAATGAAACATATATTTATTTTTACGATCAATTTATATAGCTTTCCTCTTTTGTTTACTGAAACTTGTAAAGGCATTCAATTAGCGACGTTTGTCTAGGAGAAAGATCTTGGCGATTTAGTTTAGTTTTTATTTTAGCTTTTCCTTTCGATTCGAAGTTTTAGTGGCGTGTCAGAATTTATTGGCCAGCTCATTTTGTGGCCCATTAGACGAGGAGTTGGGGAACAAATAGGAGGGGGGCGGGGCATCCATTTATACGCTCAGCTGACTCACGGTAATGGCAAATTAGCTGTGTGTGTGTGTGTGTGTGTGTGTGTCGCCGTTGGCTGTTGTCTTATGGGAGTGCAACTGTCGCCCAGTGGGAGATGTGCAGCAAATGCAGAAGAAGCGGCAACAGCAACAGCCGCCACAGGAAGTCGCATTCCAAATAGGCATTCACGATCCACAATTCACAATGTAAGTCAGCCGTAAAGTGGCTTACTTGGCTTTCACTGCTTGCCACAAGCACTCATACAGTCACACACTCACACCACTCATCCACTCGCTCATTCATTCATTCAACTTGAAATTTGCCGCACCGACATCGTTTGTCGTCTTGTTGCTGCGTTTCGCAGCAATTTTCAGTTTAATTTGTGACCAGTTTTTAGTTTTTAGTTTTTAGTGTTTTTTTTTTTTTTGCCACTTTTGACAAGTGCCACCAAAAAGAAAATAGTCAGTCGTAAATAAAACCGGACACAATTTGTACATTGCGCAATAACCAGCGACTTTAACTGTCCAAAAACAAAAACATAAACGAAATATTAAAAAAAAAAAAAAAAGTAATATTTCGGAACCGACTAATATTACGTGCCCACTGACCTTTTCCGCGAATCGTTCGTCTGGTCTGGTCTGGTTTTTTGTTCAGTTTCAGTTTTTGGGCTTGGGGTTCCGATCCGCTGTTCACGTCGATGGCCGTTCCACGAACGGATCTAAATATGCTATGACTTGTTTATACAAAGCGAAGCATTAGCCTCCCGGTTCTCGGCTCTCGGTTGTCGGCTCTCGATTCTCGGGCTCCCATGTGGCGTTCTTGGCATACCCCATAAACAACCTAAACAACGCACAGAGCACAACTAAAAAGGCAGCGCGCATAAACATTTACGATAAACAAATTGCGGCTGACAGCACGTTTTCAAAAAAAACACACACCAACATCTATGAAATGTAGTAAAAATAGTGGATTAGACTAGCAGATACCCTATAGAAATATACACTTGAGAAGTTCTGAAGGAATCTCAATTTAATTGGATTTGACAGTGGGTAAAGTATAAACATCGTCATATATATTATCACAAGTAAGCGTAAGGCAATTGTAGAACAATGTCGCCTATATAGATATGACTTTATGTTATGACCTGTTACAGTTTTGTTATCTCTGAATATGTCTAAGATTTGACATTGTCTGCGATTAAGAACGTTAACCTATCCAAATTCTCAGACAATAAGGAAACAAAATTTAGAAAAACTAACAAATTTGAAAGGTGAACTATATGGATTATGCAGAATTCTTTCATTTCAATTCAATTCACAAATATGTTAATCAATTTACTTTCACTAGAGTTGATGGTTATGTTGAAGAATGAAAGAATTAGTAGACTATTGATAATGTATATATGTATATAAATACATACTAATATACTGTTGTATACTTGTATATCATTATATTTACTTAACAGCCTAACTTAACAAAATATTCGCCAAGAATCTATACAACAATCGAAATGCCCCGTTTCTCTTCCCATTGCAAAAGTATTTTGAAAGCATTTTAGTAACTTATTCGTTGGCATTTTTTTTTTCGGTCTACTCAGAGTAGAGTTAATTTAAAGAAAATTTCGTAATTCCCCCCACACCGAGGCCAATCAGCCAAATAGCCAATTCAAGCACAATTTTTATCGAATGGGGGAGAGCAACGAACAAAGTGCGATTAAACAGACTCGACAACAGCTTCATTTTTTTTTTTTTTGACAGCTTATCAACACCTGAATACTAGAATTTTAAGTGAATTAGGGATACAAGAATGTACATATATAAAATAAAATATATTTCAATATTATTCTTTAAAATAGTCTCAAGGTTTCATAATCTTCTAGATGTTTTTTATCTTAGAGCAACTATTTATGGCTCATTAAAAAGAATGAAAAGTGTAAACGTAATCCAAGATAAGAAGCTTTTATAGAGCTTTTATTGCTGATAGAATAGAATAGAATAGAGTAAGAAAAGAGCGAGAAAGATACAGCATTAAGTAATCGCCAGATGGCAAAAGTCAAGAGCAGATATATACTATATACACACATATACCTAGAGTATATGTATATCTGAAATTTGATTCGGTTTGCTGATGAAATTCTTTCAATTGAGTTGCTTTCATACCATTTTGTTTTTGCTTAATCAAAGTGCATACAAATGCAATTAACTGACGAATGATAAACTTTATGATCTATAGCTTTATGAACTATTAAAATCAGTTTTATGTTCACATTCACCCCATAACTGCAGCAGCTACTGTTTAGATTTCTGCTCAATTGCAATTTTCTTTTGCTTTGATGACTGAACAATTGGACAGACTATATGCATATATGGAATATTTCAACTTGATTTCCTTATAGCATTTGCCACTGCCATTATATAAGGCCATTAGGCATATTTGAGAGATTAATCCCAGGCAAGTTAGCTGCTGCCGTTAAGATATTTCACACAGCGGCCTCTTTGAAAGAAATATCTGAAATCATAATGCGTGTAAGTGAGCATTACAACAACAAGTGGCCTTCATAAGGCGGCTAAAAGTCGAGCCACAGCCACGGCAACAGCAAAGGCAACACCAACAAACATCAAATTGGCCAATCAAAAGCTCAAAAATAAAATAACGCTTGGCTTTTAACAAGAAATATGCAGCAGGTGTATGTGTGAGTGTGTGTGTAAGTGTTTGTGTGTTAGAGAGAGATGCAACATTGCAGACACTCTGTGTGGCATTTTATATAAGCCAAACGAGGGGCGCAACAAAATTGCCGCACTTAACCAATAACAAAATTCACAGATTGCAACAATTGAGCCAACAAATGTTGTTACCACAAACATTTTACAGCCAACCAAAAAAAAGTGTAAGAAAATATATATTTAAAAAATAAAAAACTCATAAACAAAAGACGCACTGGGCCTTTCACTTTGACCAAGCTCATTAAAAGGTTTGCAAAAAAAATTTAGGTTTCAAATATAATAAAAATATGGTAACATATAAAAACATGTAAGAGTTGAGTGAAAAGCATCCCATTAGCAGATTTTCTGAAAATCCGGATAAATGAAATGTATAAAATTGTCAATTAATGTTTTTTGATATTTGTATAGTCAAAATATTAGATAGACTTGGACTAGTAAAATCCTTTTACATTAAAAACAAATTCTATTCATCACTACGATTTTCAAATATTGCATTTATTTTTAGTATAATTCCTCACTATGATTATCATAATTCTTATTTATTTTTAGTAAAAAGTATTCTAAGATTAAACAAAAAATGTGGAGTAAAGTATATGAACTAATGCTAATCATTCTAAAGATTTTAAGGTGACGCAAATAACGGAAACCAAGCTCGAGTGAGCGGTTAATACAAAAATAAATAAAAACGAAGAACAAAAACAATTTATAACAAGTAAGAAAGCTCTAGTCGAGACTGCTCGACTACGAGATCCCCTGAACCCTTGGAGCAATAGATATTTCAATACTTTTTCGCGACTTTCAGCTTACACAAGAAACACGCACACACACACACACACGCACGTACGCACACACAGGTATACAGACACACACACGCATACAGACACACATACACACACACACGCATACAGACACAAACGCATACACACACACATACACACACACATACACATACAAGCAACCACGCATAAACACGCATGGGCTGCAGTGTGCGCTTACTATGAGAACTTAATTGTTTAATAACTTTTTTTATGGACGTACGATCTTCATGAAACTTTTAGATTATGATTATAACATGAATATGCATGTAATTGCCAAAGCACAAGTCTCTAGTATTTGAAATACGCTTTTTACAAAAGTGAGGGTGAGGGGGTGAATTTAGAGGTGGGGGGTAAATTTTAACAAAAACCGAAATTGTATAAATTACATATAAGCATACATTAAAAATTTGGAGACTCTAGCAATAAAGGTGTAGAAGATATAATTTTATAACTGGGTTTCGATAAGGTTTTTTATCGATGTTAAGGCATTTGGATTGCCTTCTGAAATATTATTATATATTATTATAAGAAATTGAATTATTATGAATTATTAATTGAATTATTATCGAAATTGTATAGGTTAAGTACTTGAAGCTGAACCACTGTACAGAAAAGTTGTTATTGTACGCGCTAGCACGGGAGTGTCGCTCTCCAAAAGATCGCTCTCTCGCTGCTCGCTGTTAGATGCGCATAGGTGCGCTCTCTACTGTGCAAGCTGCGCTTGCGTTCATGTTAAATTTAATAAATTCAGTACAAAATTGAACACCGGTGCCAGCACTTCGTATATTTCAGAGAGACCGCAAGTTGCTGTCTACTTTTTTTTATAAATATTATACACTGGCCATCGAAGGACCAGACTCCTTTTGGAAGGACATTTTTGGCGCCCCCGGGTGGACACTCTCTGGAATTGAAGGAAGCTGGATTATGGATTTTGTGGATAATCAGGGAAGTACATAAATACATAGAGCACATAGATGACCAAGTAATGCAAGCCATAAATAAATAAATGCATTACTTGAGACATACAAAATATTAATGTATGTACAATCTACGCCTATGTACATTGTGTTGAGCTTATTTCAAATTGAAATTTAAAAAAAAAAAAATAAATAAAAATAATAATAAGGTGCATATTGACCTTTGATCTGCAAATAATTCAATCTCTATTGCCTCGCATAATCCAAGTTTTCTTTGGCGCCGCTAGTGTGTTACAGTTTTTTTTGCTCATTTTCGTCTCGCACTTTCGTTTTGCGCTTGCGCTCACAGCTCGCTCTCGCTCGCACATAAAAGTTCGTTCTCGCTTGCACAGATAATTGCGCTCTTAATTTACGCTCTTCATTTGCATGCGCGCTTGCAATATCGTTTGCACTCGCGCTTGCACTTATAGTTGCGCTCTCGTTTTACTGTCTCGCTTGCACATATTAGTGCGCGCTCACTTTGCGCTCAGTGCATACTCACTTGCTATATCGTTTGCACTCGCGCTTACACAGCAAATTTCGCTTTAATTTACGCTCATCATTTGCATGCGCGCTTGCAATATCGTTTGCACTCGCGCTTGCACTTATAGTTGCGCTCTCGTTTTACTGTCTCGCTTGCACATATTAGTGCGCGCTCACTTTGCGCTCATTGCATACTCACTTGCAATATCGTTTGCACCCACGCTTGCACACGCAGCAGCGCTCTCGCTTTGCGCTCAAAACGTGCGCTCGTCACTTGGATATATTTTCGCTCAAAACTTGCACTCTCGCTTTGCGCTCATTGTATGAGCTCGATCTGCAATTATATTTTGGCATTCATACCGGCGCGCTCTCGCTTATGAATGCATTGCACTCAGTCGCTCAACAGTCAAATATAACTCAATAGACCACTTGCCCAAATAGTCACTCAACATTTTGGTTGTTGTCTTCGCTATATCGTAACAGTCACTCAAGTATAGTTTAACACTGCCAGCGTAATATATTGAGATTTATTACGATCGCGCGCATTTGTTAACATTCTTGAATTGCTCTTCGCTTGTTGTCATACATTAAGTGAACTTTTATTTGTTTCGATTGAAATTGGTTTCAACTGAGCATCACTTATAGCATCATGACTAACAAGCGAGGAAAGAATAGGTCTATGGACGAGTCATCATCAGAGCGTGTCGAAGCTCTGTTGGCCGTTTACAAAAATGTTACAAACGACATAACACGCATTAATAAATCATTAAAAGATTACACTAAACCAGTAGAGCCATTTGAAATTGAATGTCGACTTGAGATATTGAACCGCTACATAGAAAAGGCCTTTAAGACACAACAAGAGTTGGACGACATTAACGCAGATTTAGTGCCTCGGTCAACGTTAGAAGATTTGTGTGTATCGACAAAGGCACTTCTTATGAAGCGAGGTAGTGATAGCCAACCTAAAAGTGAGAGTCCCGCTAACTCTACAATGATTAGCTCAGTGTCACATTCTAGGAATCTACCGAATATAAAGCTGCCAAAGTTTAGCGGAGAATATTCGGAATATAAGAATTTCATTGGACTTTTTGAGAGTTTAGTCGACAACGAGCCAGGGTTATCAAATATAGAAAAGTTTAACCACTTGTTGTCATGCTTGGACAAAGAAGCATTAGGCACTGTCAAGGCATATCAGGTGACAGATGCAAATTATCCAAAAGCGTTAGCTGCTTTAAAAAATGTGTACGACAATCAGTGTCTCATATTTTTTAACAGCATTTCAAAACTATTTGATCTCCCACACATGTCCGAACCGTCAGCATCATCTTTGCGCATGCTGATAGACTCAGTCCGTGCCATTTACGAATCTCTTTTATCGCTAGGATCTGATAAGCAGATTTCGAATGCCATGCTCATCCATTTGGTAATGATGAAAGTGGACGCTGGCACGCGCTCTAGGTGGGAAGAGAATCTTGACTACAATAAGCTTCCATTGTGGCAAGATTGTGAAGCTGCCTTGAACAGACGGTATCAGCATTTAAGTGCTGAAGACTCATCTGGTCCACGTCGTAAGGTAGCTCAGGATAATAAGAAAAGAATTGGGAAAACTTCTCTAGCTGTCGCTCTGCCAAGTGAGCCGCAGAGTCCCAAATGCGTGTTTTGTAAAAAGAACGATCACTTCATTCACTCGTGCTCGTCGTTCGCAGCAATACCTTGCCAGAAACGTTTTACGTTCGCAAAGAGCTATCCGCTCTGTATAAATTGTTTGCGAACAGGACACTCAGTGGCTGCTTGCAAATCAGCCCACTGTCGTGTGTGCTCTAAGCCGCACCATACCATACTGCATAGATACAGCTCTGAAGCGGCTCAAAGTAGCTCAGCAGTTGTATCAGCAGTCCCTCGTGTCACTTCGTCACAGATTTCATCTGTAAATCACGCACGGATAGCCTCTGATCAAGTTCTTTTGGCAACTGCAGTTGTGAAGATAAAAGATCAATCTGGATCTTATCACTTAGCTAGAGCTTTATTAGATTCCGGCTCGCAAGTAAATTTCATAACTGAAGAACTGGCAAAACAGTTGAAATTAAAACGGCAAAGATCTGGGATTCAATTGTTGGGCATTGCTAATTGTCAGTCATCTGTTCGGCACAGCGTTCAAACTTCGATAGCGTCCCGAACGGACGACATAGAAATCCGAACAGACTTTGGTGTGTTACGTTCCATTTCGTCGTATCAACCAGAGAAGCACACTGAAGAGATCAAGGTACCTGATAATGTACAATTAGCTGATCCTCAATTCCACAAGCCGCAACGTATTGATTTGTTGCTCGGTGCTGATATCTTTTTGATATATTAAGAGAAGGCAAAATAAAAGGATCCGATAACAACCCAACATTGCAATTGACTGCCTTTGGTTGGATTGTATCTGGTCGCTGCCGAACATTGAATGCAGCTACTAGTTCGTCGACTTTCATTAGCGTCGTAAACGACGACATAGCTATAGATTCAATAGTTCGCAAGTTCTGGGAGTTGGAAGAAAAGCCAAATACAATTAATTCGAATTTGTATACCCCAGAGCAACAACTGTGCGAGAAGTCATTTGTGGAGACTATTGGCCAAACTACCTCGGGTCGTTTCAGAGTGTCGCTGCCATTCAAATCAAGCCCACATTGTCTTGGTACGTCTTACGACACAGCCAAGCGACGATTTCTGGCCTTGGAAAGAAGAATGAGCAAGCAAGAAGACATTCGGCCAATGTATATTGACTTTATGAAAGAATACTTGGCCTTGGGTCACATGAGCCCAACTAACAATCAAATTCCGAGAGAGCCGCATTATTTCATCCCATATCAATGCGTGCTAAGACCGCACAGCGCATCCACTAAACTTCGAGTAGTGTTTGATGCCTCTAGCAAGTCCTCCTCTCAATTGTCGCTGAATGATCTACTCATGGTGGGTCCGACCATCCAGCCGCAGTTATGGGAGACTTTGCTAAGATTTCGACTTCGTCCTTGGGCTGCTACAGCAGACATCGCTAAAATGTACCGTCAAATTGAACTTGACGAGTCCCACCGCAACTTTCAACTTATTGTGTGGAGGGAAACGCCCACTGATCCGTTACAAATCTTTCGATTAAACACAGTAACGTACGGGACAGCGACTGCTCCATTCTTAGCAATTCGATGTTTAAAACATCTAAGCGACTTGCATGCTTCCACTCATCCAGCTGCTGCAAGATCGTTAGCCCGAGATTTCTATGTTGATGACCTGTTGACAGGAGCAGATAGCGTCGAAGAATTGTGCTTGTTGCATCGAGACTTGATCGCAATTCTTCAAAAGTTTGGATTTCCTCTCACAAAATGGTCGTCCAATTGTAAACAACTCGCAGCACAACCAGCTAGAAACGATATAGTTATTGGTCATCAAGAGGACACAAAAACATTGGGATTAATTTGGAATCCAATGAATGACAGCTTTAGATATTCCATGAACTGTCCAGTAGAAGTTCAACAGACCAAAAGATCCGTTTTGTCATTTGTAGCAAGGTTATACGACCCCTTAGGTTTGTTAAGTCCGATCGTAACTCGTGCGAAGGTCCTTTTACAGGAAATGTGGTTGCACAAACTTGGGTGGGATGACCAATTGCCTGTTCAAATGAGGCAAGAATTTGAGGCAGTAACTAGCTGTTTCTCAAATCTAAACTCGTTGCATATACCTCGTTACGTTGGCACACTTAAATCGAAAGGATGTCAAATCCATGGATTTGCTGATGCCTCAACGAGAGCTTACGGTTGTTGTTTATACGTAAGAATGCAAACAGATAAGGGTATCACTACCAGGCTGCTAGTCGCTAAATCTAAGGTAGCGCCCTTGAAAACAAAATCTGTTCCGCGGCTGGAGTTGTGTGCTGCAGAATTGTTAGCTACCTTATGGGATGCGGTAAGGAAAGTACTTGATTGTCCTATTAATCAAGTCACATTTTGGTCAGACTCTGAGGTGGTGCTTCATTGGCTGCGAATGCATTCATCTAGCTTGAACACATTCGTTGCTAATCGCGTTGCAACCATCCAAGAGTTGACAACTAATGTATCTTGGCGTCATGTACCAACGAAAGACAACCCAGCAGATATTGTATCTCGGGGATGTTCAGTTGAGGAGCTTAAAACATCATTGTGGTTTTGCGGACCAGGATTTTTAAAGCTCTCTGACACATTGTGGCCAGCCAACCCACAAATCACCCTATCAAAGGAGTTAGAGCTGCTAGAGAAGCGTAGAACTGCAATTACTATGATCGCGGTCGATGAGGTAGCAAATCCTATCGTACATCTTATTGAGTCAACGTCATCATTTTCTAAGCTAATCCGCATCGTTGCCTATATGTTCCGCTTTATCAATGGAAAACAAGAAAGTCATTCTTCACTTGTTCCTACAGCTTCTGAGTTAAGCTTCGCATTCCTTGCAGTTATATCTGTAATTCAACACATTGAATTCAGCGAAGAAATAAAGAAAATAAAGAAGTCAGTCGTGTTGCAACCGTCATTGCAAAAACTGACACCATTTTTGCACCCACATCAGCATGGCAGGCGTATGTTATGGTTGCTACGAGTAGGAGGTCGTTTATTGAAGGCACCATTAGCACATAATGCCAAATTCCCATTGTTGCTTCCAAAAAATGTCGTTTCGTAACGCTTTATTTGGAGCATTTGCATCGCTCTCATTGCCACGCCAATCCCCTAGTACTAATGGGCCTGCTTCGTCAGCAGGTTTGGCTGGTCAATGCTCGACAGGCTTGCAGTGCAGTAGTCCGAAAATGTGTACATTGTTTTCGCTACAAGCCGAAACTCTTATCCCAAATAATGGGCAATCTTCCCGCTGATCGCTTACATGGAAATAGGCCATTTGAGATCAGTGGAGTGGACTTTTGCGGTCCAATACTAGTTTCGCTGGGAATTCGGGGCAAATCGCCAGTCAAAATGTATATTGCCATATTTGTTTGCTTTACTTCGAAGGCAGTGCATCTTGAATTAGTCACCGATTTAACCACAAATTCATTTCTAATGTGTTTATCCAGGTTCGTTGGTCGACGTGGGCTTGTCCGGAAGCTGTACTGCGACAATGCCACCAATTTCGTGGGTGCTGCACGCACGCTGGACCTCAAAGCTACGTTCCATGGCAACACAGCGGACATGGAAATGTTTGCTGCGGAGCGGGGCATGGAGTTTGTATTCATCCCTCCTCGAGCACCGCATTTTGGCGGCCTTTGGGAAGCGGCGGTGAAATCCGCCAAAGGTTTGCTGCTGAAAGCGATGGGCAGCGCTCGATTACGGCAAGACGAGGTGGCCACCGTGCTGGTCGAGGTCGAGGCCGTGCTCAATTCGCGGCCAATGGTCGCTCCCAGCAGCAACCCCAACGACGGCGAAGTGCTCACGCCAGGGCACTTCCTGATAGGGAGCAACGCTCGTGCCGCTGCCAATCGCGTCCACAGAGCCAGTCGACGACGTCAAGCTGACACTATTAAAAAGATGGCAGCTGACATCCAACATCAAGCGTCGATTTTGGAACGACTGGTCAAGGGACTACCTGCTCAGCCTGCAGCAGAAGTCAAAATGGACGAAGGAGAGACAGAACATACAGGTCGGAGCAGTCGTGCTCGTGGGAGAGGACAACGCTCCTCCACAACAGTGGATGCTAGGCGTGGTGACGGAAGCCATAGTCGGAGGAGATGGTAGAGTGCGCGTAATTGTCGTTAAGACAAAAAATGGCACATATAAAAGGGCAATTCATCGCGTTGCACCACTGCCACTCCACTAATACACCATGTTATTGAAGCCCTGCGGCCTTTCAACGCGGCCGATGTTAAGGCATTTGGATTGCCTTCTGAAATATTATTATATATTATTATAAGAAATTGAATTATTATGAATTATTAATTGAATTATTATCGAAATTGTATAGGTTAAGTACTTGAAGCTGAACCACTGTACAGAAAAGTTGTTATTGTACGCGCTAGCACGGGAGTGTCGCTCTCCAAAAGATCGCTCTCTCGCTGCTCGCTGTTAGATGCGCATAGGTGCGCTCTCTACTGTGCAAGCTGCGCTTGCGTTCATGTTAAATTTAATAAATTCAGTACAAAATTGAACACCGGTGCCAGCACTTCGTATATTTCAGAGAGACCGCAAGTTGCTGTCTACTTTTTTTTATAAATATTATACACTGGCCATCGAAGGACCAGACTCCTTTTGGAAGGACAATCGATAAAAAAATATCGAGATGAGTTATCGATTTTTAATGATAAACTTGATATGCGCGCTGTAATTACGGACATTTTAAAAAAAATTTGAAGTCTCTAGCTCTTATATCTTCTGAAATCGACGCGTTCATACATACGGACAGACGGACAGACGGACAGACAGACGGACAGGGCCAAATCAACTCAGCTCGTCACCCTGATCAAGAATATATATACTTTGTGGGGTCTGCCACGCCTCCTTCTCCCTGTTACATACATTTCAACAAAACCATTATACCCTGATTTCCCATTGAAAATGGGTTCAGGGTATAATTACTCCAACAAACGGTATTTCGAAATGCTCTCATTAGTTCTTGATTTTGTCAAGGGAACATTAGAATTTGCTAAGCTCATTAATAAATGTCTCTTATACGTTCATTTCTATTGTATATACAATACAATACACACATGCATATGTATGTGTACGTATAGGCAACTCATTAGGTGGAGCCTCATTAACATAATAAGCAGAGAACATTAACAGTAAAGCAGCAGCAACAGCAGCGGCAACAGCAAAAGGCGGCGCCACATGTAGCCAGGCCCTGCTATGTGTATCGCATGCAACAAGTCGCTTTACATTGAAATATCCAAAAGTTCACAGGAAATCATCAAAATGTGCAAGCGCAAGTTGAATATATCCAATAAGATACATACATATACACGCAAACACACACACACACACACACACACTAACACACTCAGAAACAAACAAATGTACGCATACTGCCAGCTACTGTTGTTGTTGTTGTCTCTGTTTGTTTTGCTCTCTTGGCTCTTGGGTGCCAAAGGGGCAAACAAACAGTGAGAGCGAGAGAGCGCGCGCTAAGAGTACGTCGCTCATACATTTGCAGCCACAGCTGTATTGCTTATTTGTTCACTTTGCCCCTTCTTCAATTGGGTTTTGTTTTCGTTTTTCTTCTTTTCTTATTGTTGTTGCTGCGTGCGGGGTTGCAAAGGCAAGAAAAATCGAAAGCGCCAACGCCGGTGGTGGCTTCGGTCGTGGTCATTGCACAGTGGTTGCCACCCAACACAACAATTGTCGATCGGGCGAACAGATAAAAAGCAAAAGCAACAACAACAAAAGCAAAAGCCAAGGCAAATCAGACTACAACAAATTGTCGGAGTGAAGAGATAAATGCATGTTACAGCTGTTAACACGTCTTGTGCCAGTGTGGCTGGCTGATAATGACGATGACGATGTCGATGATGATGATGATAGTGATGATGACGACAAGCAGTTGAAAAGTCAAAGTCAAATGCAAGACATAAAACAAAACAGCGGACATAAACCATGTACACCCTGTGTGTACATGAAAACAATAACAACAGAAAGCAAAACAAGTTTTCACTTTTATTTCTTTTGTGATTTTTTTTAGTTTTAGTTTTGTCTAAGACTTACTTGGCCGTGCGTTAGTTAGGATCAGGGTATCGGGGTAAGGGGTCTTGCCGTGTGGCATTCATTACCAAACGGCGATTCAATTGCAATTGTTGTTGTTGCAGTGAATTGTGGCCATAATGAATTGCATAAGCCGGAATCGCAATCACTCGACTACATTTGGTCAGCTGCAGAGGTGAGATTCAAACTGAGAGTGAGAGTGGCAGTGTGAGAGAGAGGGTGAGCAGAGCACAAGATTTGCGCACTAACAAAACTGGCTAATCAAGACGCAATTGAAATAACGCACATAACACAAAACATGACCATATAAAGCAACGGCGCATTCACAAATTCCCAAAAATGGCTAATCGACAACAACAAAAATTCACATACTAAAACAAGTACAACAAATGATATGTAATCAAGCGCGCACACACAGAAAGACGCACACACAAACACATACCATAAATACGGTAATCGCAGCGTGTACTTCATTCATGCATTAAGCTCGCTCTCATTCTCATTCTTGCCCATTGTTTTGAGTGACCTTGCCTTGCCGCTCTTTTCGCAAACTCTCATTCCAATTCCCATTCCCATTCCGATACCCATTGCCAGTCAGCGGGGCACTCACCGTAATTGGGAGTGGGAACGGCGTCGAATTAGCTCATTTACTTATTATTGTAACAAACGAGCGAAAAGATAAAACAAAACCAAAACAACAAAAATAGCGGGAACAAGCGCGATTTTTTAGCTTGAGCTTAACTGCGTCATTGAAGGCAATGCTCGAACAAAACAACTGTAAGCCGAATGAACACAATGCAAATATGCACAACAAAAAAAGAAAAGGGGATTATGCGACAAAAGCTTCCGAAATAAATGTGACGGAAGCAGCCAAGGAGAGAGTGCACAAATACAAGTACAGCATTTCTATGCAACTGCCAATCAAATTGATGAGCAGAGTGTGCGAGAGCCATCAGTCAACCCGCAGATCAAAAGAGTGTCTCTACACAATCTTTTGGGTTGCGGTTGTACGCACACTTTATCAATCATAGCTTATTGTACACAACACACTCAATAAATTCCACATAGATAAAAACCCCAATTAGAAATTCATTCATTGACGAAAAAGTCCAGTCACATGTGTGTACGTGTGTGAGTGTATAGAGTGCGTTTCAGTATGTCTGCGAGTGCTGTCATAAGGGCTCTCTCTCATGCACACACACATGCAGAACGAACTGAGCGCACAGAGCTAGCATGCTAATCACATACACGAGTATGAGCAACAAAACATAAACAGCAGCAAAAGGCACACAAACAAAAATAACAGAAATTAACAGCTCGCCTGGCAACTGGAACTGAGGAACTCTGCCCGCTTCCCACTGGCGACTTGCTGCCCGTTGCTTGGCGCCTGTTCAAATAAGTTTCAAATTTTGACAAATAAAACCATGGTTTTGTAATTTACGAGCAGCGGCGACGTCAACGGCTGGCGACGACCTCAGTTGTTGAGTGGAGTGGAGTTTCCCACGCCCATTATTCACACTCAGAACTCAACGGCACTCCAACTCGCTCTCCCGCTCTTCGTGCTTGACTCCTCTCCGTAGCGAGAGCGCAATAAAAAGGGATTATGTGCAAGTATGTTGGCATATAGGCATGTTTGTGTGTGTGCATGTGTGTGTATGTGTGTCTGCGCCTTGAGCAGGAGTTTGAGTGAACCGAAAGAAGCTGCAACATCATCTCCCCGTCTAGACGTTTGATTACCGGCACACAAACACACAAACACATGCACACAGGACGCAGCGCATTATGAAGAAGAGCGAAATGAGGAGAAAGCACAAGCAGCCAGAGGCCAAGGCACAGTGAACCCGAATGACGTTAGATTGTCCCCAAATGATAATTGCGTGGCCATTTGTGTTTTATTTTTATTGGTTAGGCGGATTTTTTTCGTTTTTAGTGTTCTAGGCTTTATCAGTTACATATTAATGCGGCATGAGTTATTTTGTGGGTCTTTGGCTTTGCTGTAACAGCAAGATAAGGTTTATATCGGAATTGCTTGGATTTATTATTATGAATTATGCTGAGAGCCTTCAGAAATACAGCATAAACTTTATTTTATTTTATTTTCACATTCTAATCACGCCTTTGGCTTCAGGGTGTGTCTCAAAAACAAATTGCTGAAATAAATTCCAATATCCAAATTCAACTCAAATGCAGGCAACTGAGTATTTTCTCAAGCAAAACAGCTCCCTCTCAATGCCGCCTGCAACGCTCATCAATATTTTCACTCAATTCCAAACGCAATTAAGCTAAGCAGATTTTGTAAATTCCCAACGCTATCTCTGTCCCTCTCGCACGTCGTAAATAAGCAGCTTCCGTTACAAAGCCGATTCGCTGCAATGGCTTAGGGAACAAAGGCCTTGACAATAAATCTGTTATCTGATAATATTGTTTCTACCTGATGTAACGCTGAGGCGTCAGACGGTGATTTCGTTACAGTGCATTAATCAACAACGGATTTTCAATATTTCTTTGAAGCATTTCTTAACGAATTTCCTAATGCTTCAACACAAAGGTAACCACTGTGCCTGCCTGAGTAACGGTTAGGGTAACGGGTGCCGGGCCAATGACAAGGCTTGTCAAGGACTGTGCACACTCGATGCCATGCCAAAGGTCAAACAATCAGCACAGCGGAGCCTTGACTTTTGCACTTACGTCAAATGTTTGCGCCGTTCAAATCAAACACTGCACCGAAAAAAACGAGACGTGCTAAAAAAAAAAGACTCAAATAATAAACTCACCACCCAGCCAAATGCTTCAAGTGTCGTCGCCTTCTGTGCGTCCTTTTTGTGCAGTGGTGAAATCAAGATGAAACTGGAATTTTTCGCAGACTCCGTCTTTGCGCGCTTCTGTTTTGATTTTGTTGCGGCTGCTGCTGCTGTTGTTGTTATTGCTATATTGACTGCTCTCTCAGCTGCTTGTGCTAGTATAGGTATTTTTTATATGCTGACCGTGTGTGTGTTTTATAAATCCTTTTGTTTCGCTTCTGCTTTTTGGCGCGCAATTTTCGT